GGTTCTCACCAAAAAAAAAAAAAAAAAAGAAAAAGAAAACATGACCGAGTCTTATGTAAAAAAAAAGAGAAACAAAAAAATAAAGCATACAAATTGCCACCCTTGTCACACAAGTGTATTGATGCGAGTGTTGTGTTCTGTTCTATCACGTGGTGTAGGCCATATTCGCCAGTTGTATCCCCGAGATAATTGACCTGATCGGGACGCGAAACAAGTATGGCGGCACTTTGAAGAACGAGCGAGGTCGCAGGTGAGAGACACAGCCAACCAACTAGCTTTCCCGAGTTGAGTCACCTTTCGCAGTCCTAATTACTACCAAACTGTTCATACTATCCCCCTTCTTGTATATGATGTACACCTGAATCTTCCTACAACAGCCCTCTCCCTGTCTCCAGCACGACGTCATGAAATTTGCCATATATTTTTTGTCCGTATGCACCTGGACATCTAAAGTACTTAACACACGATCGCATTTGCCTCGATGTCAGATTACCTACACGACCCCTTGATATGTTTCTATTGTCACAGATACACAGAATAGAATACTATATCTTTTACATCGACAAGCCTGAAAAAGAAATTCCTTGGATTGCCCGTTACGTTTTATATTTACACCCAACACACGTGTAAACATAATATACATAACACGTACGCGTGGGCACGAGCACGCGCGTTACATACACACGTATATGATGCATTATAAGTATATAAACGTATTATATTTATATATTTACGGTATTAGCGAGTAAATATATAAATATACACATATTATATTATACACGTATAGAGGCAGTGATTTAGAATCGCAGAATTGCAGTTCAGTACCGGCTCTTCGAACTAGTTGTCAGTGAGCGTTAATGCAACCGTGCTTCCACAGTCCCCGAGAACACAGTTCCCTAACCCTTGTCCACCGACACTATCAGTCAATCAGCTAGTCCAATTACCATCTCAGATTCACCATACCCCAGTAACTGGTGTTAGCTTGTTTGTTTACTTGACCGCACTTGGGACAAATACGGCTTTATCGCGCTAGTTTCCTCGAATCTTCACGAACAACGAGGAGCGAATGGTATATAAAGAAATTCATCTGGATGAAATTTTAATTAAAAATACTAGAAATTTATACCCATTTTATTTTTTTTTTTTTTATATTTTGAATCCTTCATTCTCAATTAAAGACGAAAGTTATACTTTGAAGGATACAATGACTGCGTAATAATGAATTAATTTGCATTCCTCGTTTTTCGAATTTCATCTAGTTGACATAATAACGATTCTCTTAACTGCAATTACATAACAAGTGAAAAGATCAATTCATCCGAATAACCTAGGCGTAGAAGAATATATCGCTACCTTGATGCCATAATGTACTTGACATTAGATTTCCGTATCCAATCGTCGTGCGTGTTTTTATCGTACAATAAAATTGTCAAATTGTTCGTGTTTGGCGACAAATATCCATCACTCGTACAATCATGTTTCGCGGACGTGGCACAGAGCACAGAAAATATATAAATAAGTACGTTGGAGCTGTATTTCTCTCTGAGTGCAAAGGGTCAACGCCCAGCATGTACCCTGCATTTTCAACTAATATTTAGGTCATATATATGTATATGGCCTAAAGTTGCAATACTTAAGTGTAATAACCTTGGTGTTTTAGACAGCATTAATTATTGTTTTTACGTGTAAATCTTGGAGAAAGGACAGTGGTAAAGTGAAATTCCGCCTTGGATTATAAGCTCACAGGATGGACCATGTGAATTGTTACAGATTTGTTTCTCTGGAACTAATAAGTACATCAGTGTAATTATTTTTTCTATGATTTATGGTATGTCTTTATGTTGTACGTATAACGGATATTTAGTAACTGGAAGATAAAAATATCGAAAGTTTAAAAAATACTGCTTTTGGCAACAATTGCTACAAATAATTTCTCACGAGATATCTATGACTCGTCCCATGCAAATGTAGTGAATCGAATAATGTTATTGGATCTACTACAGAAGAAAACGAAATGCTCCATGTTTTTAACTATTCCAAGTAGTAGAAACATTATAGTTAAATTGTATTATTAAATTAAATTTCTATTATTTATAACTAATTCTACAGATGTATAATTATTCTTCTGGAATTTAGTTCCCAAAAATGTTTTCATTATTCGTATATATGTTCTTAAATCTGTAATTTTTTTGCGTTTATTTGATCAAATAAGCTATAGCAGTGCATGAAATATTAATATATTCATTATGTTATATCCTAAGAAATTGATCAATTTTTATAAGTTCATTATTAAAAATTAGCGGATTTCGATACATCCATTATTAAGAGCTAATAAATTCTAAATCTTTATATATATATATAAATATTAAAAATAAGTAAAAATATATACATATTAATTATGTTGATTATCGAGTATTCTTTGTACAAGATATCTTTCACCTTCGTTTTCAGTTGCCTCGAGTATACAATTGTTATAAATAATTTTCTTTTGTTCTTCGGATGCAATAACAGCATTTCCAATGATACGAAATATTTATTAAATAATAATGTAATAAAGGAATTACGTTTCTGACAGTCTCCGAGATTACTTTGCGTAACAATTTATATGACTCACCCTGTATACGCTTTATATACGTATATCATCAGTACACGTATATAAAGCTGTATGTATACGCATATATGTACTTATATATTGCTAATCATGTGTCACGCGCTATTCAGGTTTTACGAAGGGATTGTCAATGGGCCAACAATATTTTAGACTAGGGACGATTTTGTATAGCCATACATATAACATCCTTCTTAAATTGAACATCATTTTATAATTTCCGTTAGCGGGATTACGCTTTTTTTGTAAGACAAACAATAAACTCAACACCACCGGTAATTAGAGTTCCTTCAATTATGTAAATGAAAATATACTTATACACGATTTACGCATACAAGTATGCAGAGTGAGCCAACACGGAATAAACCATACGCTCCATAAAACATCTAGATTGTCATTGTTATGGATATTTTTTTCAGAGTTACCAAGGTTATCAATCTCTTCCTAAATGAATCTATATGTTTTCCCCCTTGCATGTTGTAGCTAACGTTGATGAAATTTCCAACGTACAAGGTTAAAAGATACAGTTACAAACGAGCTAAATCGATGTCCTTTGGCAACGACGCGTTTTCTCTACGTAGCAATATTAATAAAATACAGAAACTATTTTTTCAGTTTTTTTCTGTCTTCCAGTTGGACTTTCAGGTTTTTCGAGATTTCCGGAATAATAGGTTTTCCTCTCTTCTCGCACGTTAGCTTTTTCCCTTTGCTGAAAGAGATCTGTGGTGTAAAAATAAACGGCTCGTGATAGATTGATTCGTTCGAACGGTATCATGGTGAAGATTAAAGATTTTCGTCGAAACGTATCGAGAAAAAGAAACCTGTAGATTTATTTAGAGGCAGTGATAACGTGGATAACTTTGAAAGCAATGATCCCCGGAGAAACAACAATACGGCGAATTCGTCGAATTTTTCTCCCTTGTTTTCGTCTCTTATTGAGAAAGGTATTTTGCAATCTATTTATCTCAACTCACTCTGTATAATTCATAGTCATCTTGATCTTATAGGCACACAGAGACAATAATTAACGGCAGTACTGTTGATCGTTGCACGTACTACTCGATACACCGAGCAGCGTCTTAGTGACAATATTAAGGTGTCACTCGTCGAATATATTCACTGTGTATGTTAAGTTTTTGCTTGATTTTTATCATTTATGCGATTTTATCGTCAGATCGGTAATATGTTCTTCGAGAAACTTGGTTAAACACAGCTTTCCGACAGGCACGAACTTGCGGCGAATTTTTTTGTGACGCACTCGACCGCGAGACAAATAGAGAAGCGCATCAAGCTCGATACGAGATGTACTCCTTCAAATGATTTTCCCGGTTCGCATCGTCAGTTATGTATAAATCGATCGGTGAATAATACTTGCCAAGAGTAACGGTTCGAATTGTGCGAACTCGACGTGCGAACATTTTTCCACATTCGATTTGTTCTCTCTACATGGGCAATAGGACTCGAACGACACGCGACTCTCTCCATTCTAGGGAATTATACACGATATACTCATAACTTATCTCATAAATACACGACACTCACGTTTCGACATTCACGTAACAAAGCGTCGGCCCCGTATAGTAGATTAAAGAATAACCTCATCTGTAAGGCCTAATTATTGATATTCATTTGTTCTGGCCCATGCTGGATTCAGTGGCACACAAGATCCGTGTGTTTATTATTTTTTTGATATTTTTATGACAGATTAAGATTCCACGCAGACGAACGATTTTTTTACTGGATCCGTGACAATTGTGTAGATACACACGAATATATATAAATATAAATATAACAATTATATTTAAGCACGACGATGTTTTAATGTTTTAATAATGTCAAATCAGTGATATAACAGTGCGGTTTCACGACAGTGACGCTTTGTGATTTGGTGAAATTATATTTTCAATGATGCAACACTCACGAGAGCGACACACATGAAATATAATAACGCAAAAATATAAAAATGCTGAATCATATAGCGCTACCACTGCGAAATCGCAACAATGTTGCATCGTTCATTTGCAGTGAGTGGGTCGATTACGATAGATTGTTGAAAAGCACGCGGAACTCGTTCGTCTGCATCGAGTTTAATCGTGGAACATCGTATAATCGCGCAAACCAGCCTGTGTCTGCTGAGTTCACGATGAGCCTCGCATTAGATGCCATCAAGTAGAGAGGATTGGGCATGGAATGTCTATGGCGAATTTTTTTTTTCTTATTCGATGCAATTAACACGTTATCGTCACTCTAAGCAGTATTTTGTATGAGTTATTTTGTACTAGCAAGAGTATGTGATTATTAATTCACACCGCACGTAGAATTAACACGACTAGAGATTTAAAAAAAAGTGAATCTTGTGCTTGTAACTTGATTGCAAGGATCGAACGTCAACGAGCCTGCACTCTTACGTATTTCATCCAGTTCTTTTTGTCATGTTTATCTTTTGTCTGTATAACTGTATGTCTAGCACAGATGATTTACCCACGTATGTGTGTGTGCGCGCGCGTGCTCGCTAGCGCGAGCGCGTGTGCGTAATTATTCGATCGCATTAGTTGGCTAAAACGACTCACTCCAATTCCTATCGCAGTTCTGGTAAGTTTAGTCCATTAATTAGTTCTACTTATATTTACGTCTACGTTACATGTATATATCTATATATCTATATATATATATATTATTTTATACATATATACATATATAAAAGAAAAGTAAACGGGAATACGTGCGATTTTTCTTAATTGTCAAGCAATAGTTTTTCGCAACGTTTGCAAAGTGAATAATTTGATTCTAAATTTCATTCGAACAGATGTATCGTTTTCGATCAATCGACGCGGATCTTCGAGCCGAAATTCGTTATTGTGGCAGCAGACTAAAATGGTGTACGAAAAAAAAAAAAAATGTTCTCAACGATGTCCATATTTTTTTCTCTTCTCACTCGGTTGCGTTGCTCTCGCGCAGATTCATTTGACCGTATTTACGCCCTCGAGCGGCATCGCGACAAGTGTACCCTCTCGAGGAACGTATTCAAAGAAAGAAAAGCAAATGGAAACAGCAGAAAAGCGGCTGGCTGGCAATCAGAGAGAGAAAAACGTAACGAAATCGTTAGTCGGTTGATACATATGTATGTATATTATATATAGAGCGTGTACACATGGTAGTTGCTTGTAAGTCTTTTTTATCTTTTTTTTTTATTTTTGACTGTCTGTACTTAAGCGGGAGTGGAATCTAATTCGTTCGTTGTGTTGGCAGACATATTGTCGTGTGTGGCCACATCACCTACGAATCAGTCTCGCACTTCCTCAAGGACTTCTTGCACGAGGATCGTGAGGACGTCGACGTGGAAGTTGTCTTCTTGCATAGGTATGGTTATCGATCCGATATTTTACTATACCTAATAAGACCTCGTGCATTTTTCTCCTAGTTTGATCTCATGTTGGTCAACGAACCACTGTATGATTGATCTATCTATAACAGACATTAACCTCTGACCTTTTCTTACATAGAACAATTAGACTGCTCAACGTAATTAGTGGATCGCTGCTCTAAACAGATTCATTGCACTAATCAAGCAAATGAAGGAGCTCTACGGGCTTGTTAGATCGATCGTACTACAATAACGATTAAATTTAAGACGATCGTTATTAGACACGCATTATATTCGAAAGAATATATAGATACAAATAGCGATATAAAAATCAAAGTGGGATCCCCTAATTGTTTTTAGCAGTGTACTTTCCTACGTGCATAGTGTTATGTACATTGCAGACAGATTATTATACGATTATACAGGATGACACATTTCTTTCCATATCCAATCTTAATTGTCGACTAACTTAATACAAATATGCGATCGATCTTGTACAATACAAATCCAATTACTATCAAAATTACATCTTAATGTCTCTTCACAATCAATTACCTTAAATATCACGATGTATTATATGTGCTAATCGTTAACCAATACAAAATTAAGTAAGTCTGCTACTGTAATCGTTACCGATAAGCAGTCATATCGAACAATGTCATGCGATATCGATGATTTTCATGAAATGAGAATAACCATGACTTGTAGTATTATAATGATGTGACAACTGGGGTAAGTGTAGGCTCACCGATTTCTGTAGGTTTCCCAATTATATTAGCTTTCCAGCGGTTATACGAACAAAGACGATCAGACCCTGTCGACTTGACGCTTATTTTCGTTATTTTTCATTTTCAAAGCGGAATTTCCCTCACTCGGGTTAATACGAATATTAATTGAAGATTGAATTTTCGAGGTTAACTGTTTTCATTGTCAACAGAGAGCTGAATGCACAGAGAAATGTACAAAGTAGGGGAAGCCAAGGGCACCCGGTGCGCCGATGCACGGTTTTGATTGTTCGAACACGATGGTCTGATCGTCATTGTCGTAAGGAGTGATCTGTGTTTCCAGGAAAGAGCCAGATCTCGAATTGGAGGGTCTCCTGAAGAGGCATTACACGACCGTGGAGTTTTTTCAGGGCACTATGATGAATGCTGTGGACCTGGAGCGTGTCAAGGTATCCCGAACCCTAAAACAACCATCACACGAAAACCTCCGCCAAATCAAACAACCTAATACCAATCTCCTCTTTGCGTGGCAGCTCATGCTTCTTATTTCCTTGTAGTTTTTTAGGTTTTTGCGCGGTTATTTACTCAACAATTTAATCTTATATCGATCGAACGATATAGATGTCTGATATATAGATGTCTATATGTTATGCGTATTTTAATTCACGACATGGAAGTGTACATAAAAAACGTATGCGTTCTTAGTTGTAGCCAGGTTTATACATCTTCTTCTTTACTTCTTTCGATTTGTATTTCTACAACCTTCTTTCTTCCTTCTATTCTTCTTCTATTTCATGTGACTAATTATACGGTTGACCGTTGTTTATTTGGGATCCAGGTATGAGATTTTTCCTTGTGGTGTCATGTAACGACGAACAATTGGAATAATTGGTCAAATATGATGAAGTACTTTAAGAATTCATCGAGGGTGTTTTACAGAGAAACCTTGAAAGGAATAATTTGCTTCATTCAATGATGTATTTTTCAATCTCCACCACGAATTACATTCTTTCTGATATATTTTCTATCTTGAACAATCTTGTAGCTCAAGAGCTGTTGTTACTCTAGAAATCATTAAAAGAATGTACATCTATCTCACCATTTACTAATATTCTTATCCTCGTCATCGTTTATGAAACAGTCGTTTTTATCGTATGACATCACTCTTAGGAACGAATATTTCAAACAAAATGCTTCTTCATATATTCCGAGGTTACGCAGAGAACCGCATTTAATCATTTATAAAAATCACTTTATATATATAATATATGTTGGTGTATGTACATACTACACGCATATATGTACGATTTATACGTAGAAAGCAATTGCTTGTGACTGCATGGTATGCTGTAATGAGCTATGGAGCCGAATCAGCGTGCAGTAGAGACTTACTTAGATCTATTATACTACATGATATATATATATATATATATATATATATATATATATATATATATATATATATATATATATATATATATATATATATATATATATATATATATATATATATATATATATATATATATATATATATATATATATATATATATATATATATATATATATATATATATATATATATATATATATATATATATATATATATATATATATATATATATATATATATATATATATATATATATATATATATATATATATATATATATATATATATATATATATATATATATATATATATATATATATATATATATATATATATATATATATATATATATATATATATATATATATATATATATATATATATATATATATATATATATATATATATATATATATATATATATATATATATATATATATATATATATATATATATATATATATATATATATATATATATATATATATATATATATATATATATATATCGTATATCCTTGACTTCCGAGGAAGTGTACTTAATTTCTCTTTTTTTTTCAAATGATGAAACGTAGATAATGTATCGATAAAGCCTTTAGAAGCTTAGATGGCTGCTGTTCCTCGAAGGTCTGACAAACACGACAGCATTATTACGTTTATACCACTTACATTATAAGTCGAATCTCCGCCCATCTCTGGCGGCCTACTCAGCGAGAAATCTCGCAAAAAAGGCGTCCACCGATATCTGAGGTGAACATTATTTATGAAAAGAAACGTATCATTTTGTCGGGCCCGTGCCATTTAGGAAACCACCAGATCTCGAGCTGGAGGGACTATTCAAACGGCACTTCACCACCGTGGAGTTCTTTCAGGGGACCATCATGAACCCCATTGATCTGCAAAGGGTCAAGGTGAGTGTGATACTCTAATTGTTCAAATCAAATAATAATCCTCGATTCCCTATCTCTTCTGAACATGCAAGACAAAACCTATAATAATTACACCGACTTGTATCAACTTGTGTATTATTTGGCGAATGCCACTGTGCACATATATATAATCTGTGTGTATAATCTGACCACAGTAGTAACAAAATTGTTGAAAATTGGGCTACGTATCGTTGGCGAAAAGCATTCAATCTGTAACCTATTCTATTTTCTGTGTCAGTTTATGATAATAACAACGAGGACAATTTTTATGATTCATTTTTTATTTAATGTTTGTTCATAGTATCTACAAATTGCCTGAACTTTAGTTAGAATTATTTTATGAAAGTGACCCCCTTTACCTACATAAGCATAGGTTAAATAATAAAACAAAAAATACCGATTATTGGTACTGAACTTTCGACATTTACCGAGGCGTGTAATTAAAAGTAGTTGATGTTTAGTCAATATTAGCCGAGATTTCTCGATTCTGCGCGGAAAACTAATATAAAAATAAAATTATGAAAAAGTTTATGTAGAAAATGTATAAAATGGACTTCAGTGAAATGGATTTCAATGCCGTAAAAAAGCCGTAATTTATTCACGACTACTTATAACAATCGGTGTCCTATTCAAGACACTGTAAAATTTGTCTAAAGGATATAAAGTCACTGCATTTAAAAGGACTAATTCTATGAAATTTCTTTCTGATATTTCGTTGTGAAGAATTTTTATGTATTTTCAATTGCCTCAAAAATGCTCCACTGTTTTTAGATTAATTGGTCATATCATACATACATATATATACATATATATATATATATATATATGTACATAGATATACATCTTTGTGCTCAACATCCACAGGATCATCGAATTGTCGTATTCCTTCGTTTGTGTCGTAGCAGCTTCCATGACGTAGTATTATACTTGTACTTTGAACTTTATGCCTCTTGACAATATGTGTTAAAAGTTCCATTGTTTACGAACTTTCTTTAACACTTAACTCCCTTTACCCATTTTCTTATTTATAAATATTACATTTTCAGTATCATTGACATTCCCAAACCATTTGTAATTTTACTCCGAACTTGATGGTCAGTCGGAAGATTCTAACATTCGTTACATCATTTCGTTTCCTCCATTTATCTGATTTTATGTTTTTCTCTAAGATAATGGAAACCATCTTACTTCTTAATAACGTATGTAACAACGTATGAAGTTTAACACGTGATATTTTCAAACTCTCGTCAATGGTATTTGATTTCTTAAATTCTTGAATATTTTTTTATGAAAATATCAAATGTTTTAAAATAAGACTAATTTTTGGAAATTTAATAGACTAATTTTTGGAAAATGTAGAATTGAATGAAGTTTCTGTTACGTTCATAAAAACACTCACATAAAAAAAAAATCGAAGGTTAATTAGAACCATCCCTCATTTGGTCCCTACTTTATTATGTGAATGATAGTTAAAACGAGACATGTTGTATTCTAGATGCTGCTTTAGTCATCATCATATTATTAATCACAAAAAGTACGAGGATATAGTGTCATGGTTGCTGCTTCTAATAATTAGTAGTCGTTCGAAAATTGACATTCTGCGAAAGGACAAATGTTGTTGTTCCAAAATGGTTGTTGCCTGTATGTTCCCTTCTGTGCACATTGACGATGTTTCATGGAATCCCTTTGACGCGCTTTCTATGCTGTCATCTGCTTTCGTGTTCCGTCAATATGTAATAGCTCGTACAAGTTTAATCGAACAAACATACACGATACTTCACGAACGTTCGTGGTAAAAGTTTCGTAACGAACATTAACATTTTGAACATCTTCCGTACAATGTATCGTTGCGATTAAATTCGATTCTTCGATCAAATTTCGCCAGGGATCAGCAAAAAATGTTCGATCTCGTAAAGGAAATATTCTTAGTCTCTTCTAACGCGTGTTAACATGCATACGTTCTGTCGTCTGCGTCAAATTGCGTGATAAAGACTCTCTCGACGGTTGTTTACTACCTTTGGATAACAACCATGTCGTGTCTACGTGTCAATCCAGGTGGGTAAGTGCTTGTGAATGGAGTTTAAGTGAATAATTATACTTTCTAAGAATTTACTTTCTGTTAGAGACTTAGTTTTCCATTATAACAGTGAGTCACGATTATCTATTAAGTATATCATATAGATTCTGCATTAAGAAAAGAAAAATGACAGAATAGTATGCTTGGCTATTTGTACAATATTTCTTTTACAACGATTAAATTTACATCAGATTAGTAGATAAGCATGTTGACACTACTTTGATACCATGAATTTTAGCGATTCGTCGTTTGATTCACGTCGCAACAATTTGCTTTCCTACTTTGTTATTGTTTTTAAAATGCGTCGGAGGTACGTGCAATTATATTTGTATAATATCATACTTAGATTGCGCTCGAATATCTATGTAAACTCATATTTTGAAATGTTGAAATGAGTATTTTCAGTATTTTATATATTCTTGCATATTGTGTAAATTCTACACATTTTTGTACTTTTAAATTTCCTATAAATGCATAAAAATCTTCAGTCTAATACACAATATTAATAAGATATCAATAAAAATTCTTAACAAAATATATTCATTTTTGAAGATTCTTTTCTAAATATAAGCACGTCGATTTTTGAAAAAGTGCATCTGTTCCCACGTGTCTACGACGCATAGTACCATTTGCTAGTTAACGCTTACAACGAAATTTTGAGACGTAGCTGCATATTCCTGCATACTCAATGTGATCAGAGATTAGTTGTTCCATGCTCTTTTTGTCTTCCTTCCTTCATTTCTACCCCGACATATTTTACTTGATTAGAAAACCACATTATACCGCGCATATGGCGGATTTTACTTTTTTAATTATTCCCTAATTATTGAACATTCATTAGGTTGTATTCCAGATTCGAAAGCAATATATTGAACATTTGATATTATCTATATAATTGCTATACTCGCATTGAATAAAACCGATCAAACAGACTAAGTTTTGCGCTACGATTTTCTTTCGCTACGATTTCTTAGTTTCAAATTTGTTCAAAAGCAGTTTCTATTTTGCAATTGCTTTCTGACCATCGACCCCATCCCAAAATACGTATACACCTTCTTCGATTCATTGTTCCGTTAAAAAAGCAACGTAGAACAAAATGGTTCGATCCTTTTTAGGTCCACGAGGCAGATGCGTGTTTGGTACTGGCGAACAAGTACTGTCAAGATCCAGATGCGGAAGACGCGGCAAACATCATGCGTGTCATCTCCATCAAGAATTACTCGGATGACATTCGCGTTATCATTCAATTAATGCAATATCACAACAAGGTATTTCTTCTACGAATCGTTTGATAATTCATAATTCATGTTCCTGTCTCAACTATATAACGTCTTTGTTTGAACATTATTAAAATGTTCATCGTGATGACGTATTTTGGTATTTTAATTAAACTTTGGACGATGGAAATTTATGGAAAACTTACGAAGATACTTTATACTTTCTAATCTACCACGTTAGATAAACTTTTATTTTTAAGCGAATTTTAGTACGACAAAGGTAAAGTTGCGTTTGCAATTAGTTTCTCTTTCCCTTTTTAGTGATAGTTGAAATGTTTCTTATTTTTGTACGTAGTTTGCTTAATTTGTATTTATATTATTTGATATCGAGAAGAGAAGGCTGGAAAATAAAATTTCTTAAGGTCGAAAGAATCGAGACTGTAATCTCCACACCTTTTCCGAATGAATCGATTAAAAGCCAACAGTGCAATTTATCTAGCTCGCCACCCCCTGATGAGCGAGCTGGGGGCGGAGCGTAGCTGTGAGGTATGACCACAAAAGTCGAGGTACTCACGAAAGCTCTGGCCTGCAGCACTTCTTGTGTATAGTAATTATTGGTATTCTTCTTGTATCCTCTGTATCTGAGAACATACTTTATATCTTTTTTTTTCTATCTTCTGTATCCAACGGGTACATTGATAATAGTGTTCTAGTAACATTTGGCGAGCTACATTATTTTCAGTTTTGTTTTCTTTTTATAAACTTTCAATATTAGAATCAAGCTCAAATTTTTGAGTGTATATTTTCCAAAAAGTCATTCAAGTTTCCAAAAGTACGCTGTTGTAAATTTATAAAATTTCTCTGAAAAATATTGATAGTTCCTTAATTTTAAATAACAATTGTCTTTAAAAATGATGCCACCGAGCTACATAGCCTTGCACGATCAGAATTCATGACAGCTCAGACTGTACAACTATGTTAAAATAAATGTTAAACTTATTAAATCTTACAAAAGCACGGTGCATGGCAAACATTACTACGGTGATTTATAATTTTCCATTGTAGGCCTACTTACTAAACATTCCATCATGGGACTGGAAACAGGGCGACGACGTGATTTGCCTAGCTGAATTGAAGCTGGGTTTCATCGCACAGTCCTGTCTAGCGCCGGGTTTCAGCACGATGATGGCCAATCTCTTCGCCATGCGTTCCTTCAAGACGGTCAGTAGAATGTCGTTCTACGGACGACAGACTGAAAATCTGCCGATTTTTTCATCTATGCATGTGTGAACAAGGTTCCTTAGGTTTTTCACTGTTAAATTGTTCACAGTGATCCCGTGATCCTTATCGCTTCTTATTTCATGATTTTATATAACCGATGATCGGCAACAACGTTATTTTCTATTTCCACATTCATAGTCTTCAAAAATATATTAGACACTATGTTTATTGTTGGAAAATTATTATCTTCTGGCTATGTCGAGTTCCAATTCGAATAAGAAATATACGCAAATTGAATAAAGAACGAAATATCAAGATGTGAAATTTTTGTGTCACTGTGAGCAAACGCGCGAATCCGTACATGCATAGGAGCGTGTGTAATTTAGAAATGGTTGGTTGATTGGTACCAGTCACCCGATATGCAGGCTTGGCAGAATGACTACCTGCGTGGAACTGGAATGGAGATGTACACCGAAACACTGAGCCCTACCTTCATTGGAATGCCCTTTGCCAAAGCCACTGAGTAAGTCCATGACCAATCCAACATCCAACAGATACCTGCATATCTGATTCAAGAGACGAGATTCTGTGGTTCCGCTCGTTTGTGTGGAGTCGTTGTATAATTATATTTCTCCGTATTCTATTAACAACTCACTAAATACGATAACTACTTTATCAGTTTATATTAGATCTGATTAGTTCTTCTTTATTCCTTTTGAATTATTTTTGAATTTGAATTATTTTTGCTATAATTAATTACTAATATACCGAGAAGTGATCGAGTAGCACGCCCGATAATTTGCCAAATTCGAGAAATATGTAATTTCGTTGTTTCATATCGTATTTTCATAGTTTCTGTTACGTTACACATTGCTATGATTTTTTAACGAGAGTTCGAATTAAGGTACTTATTTTCCTAAAAACATATTGATAATGTTTATTCAGAAATTCTAATATTTTCTTACAGTATGTATATCGAAACGGTATTACAAATTTTTACACACGTAACTGCATTTTCAAATATAGGGTTCCATGCTTACGACTAAATTCGTTAAATGAATTCTCCATAACAGTAAAAATAATTAGACGGTTTTTTAAATTTGTTTAAATTGTTAAAAATTAAATCGGTTAACTACTTCATGGTATATTAAAATCGAACAAAACCTACAAGATACAATCAACAGCTAGTTTCAATCGCTTAAGATAAATTTGAAAAATATATAATGTAACATGTTACTCGTTTCATATATCTTTCACATATTTCTTTGGCTTCGAGTTCCCGTATTCTTGATAACAATTCTGTTCCTGTCTTAAATAATTAACAAGAACAGTAACTTTTATTTGATTCAAGCTTTCTATCGAAATAATATTACTAAAATATAATATTAATATCATGTAATATAAATATCAAAAATTTTTCTTAAGAAGTTGAGGGTCGTAGGTTTATCAAAAGATACAGATAACAGGATGTTCACGGCGGTAGTCGAAGATACCAATGGACTTTTAGTTGTGAAGGTTTCTTGGCTCCGTAAATATTCTCCTTTCTCGCGGAGTATTCACTTTAATGAACGTAGAATCTGGAATGGCTCGGCTAAAAAAAGCCTCTCAGAAAAGCACGTATAGTTGGTTGAAGAATTCTCACCGCAGCAATCCCTGTCTCAGAGCAACATGGATTCGGTCGACCAGTTCGCGCTCTTTTTGTACCCACGTAACGATGGCGGAATCACTCGAGAAAGGTTCACAGTCTCTTGAATCGGAAAGAAAAAAAAAGGGATAAAGCTTCGCCTCGCCTATGTCTTTCACTACGCTCCACTCCGCTATATACATTATATGGATTATATCTATATATTTATATCTATATCTGTATCTATACTAAATGAACGTATTAACTGTATATTGTACAGTACGTATCTGTGCTCTACACCTAATCGATGTAAGCCACCTCTAATCGCTTCAGTAACGTTTCTGTATTTTTCACTCTTTTTCTGTAAGTTTTACGTGTAATATGAATTCGATCGGGTACCATGGACTAAAAGGACACGACAAATCAAACGTTTCTCTTTAAAATAATTTTAAGTGGTCGAAGAAATAAATAGATGTTATTCTGTTCCTTTTTCTTCTTGTCTAGTATGAAGAACGCGATTCAAGATATAAATCAGGGATCAAAGTTAGTTAGGAAATTCCACAGAGTAAACTTTATTTGTTTTCTAAGTTAGAATAACAACTGGAATCTGGAAATTTGAAAGACCATTGAAGCGTGCGTATATATCATCATTTTAAATAACTGATCGTATCCAATTCTTGTACAAATGCGACGACTATTGGAACGAATCTGTAATTACGGAAAGCTTTTTATTATGTGGCAACCTTTTTCCGAAAAGTCAAAAACGTATCTAAGTATCGTAAACGTTAGATTAAATATATGAACCACTCCGAAGCCAAATTAAACAACTCCGTCGCTTCCGAAAATTTCTTAGTTTTATTCAAGTCAGAATACATGATCAGTGCTGAAGTTTTCAAAAAGCAAACGACGAAATATATTTGGTATGGAAAAATTTGATCCCTTAATACGGATACATAAAGGGTACGGTTTTGCAAATAATCATCCCGAATTGAAAGTTGTTTCTTATATTTGGAGAATTTTCATCAAACCTAACTCATATCTTACATTTATGAATATTTTATTCCTTATTAAGTTTAATATTCCATGGTATCGTCCGATTCGAAAATTTATCGCACGTATAATGAAAATTTGCAACAACAACGAGCATTAACGGCAACTGGATGATAGGTAAGCATTAGGAACTATAGCTAGTAGGTGTAATCTCGATTTCGCTAGTGATTCGATCAGTCTTGAAAGACAATTTTATGCTTCAGGATCGAAGGTACTTACACATCAACAGAATTTTCTACGCGTCGTGTCGGTAAAAAGAGCGCTGTTTGTTGCTAACGGGATTTAGGGCTCAATCGTGTATAAAATGGTGCTTATAGTACTACAAACGATTCAATCGCCAATGTCGGCCTATCACGAGCGACAGATGACTTGCAATCAGTCAACGTAATTGCGGTTAGGTGTACAATTTACGAGGAGCTATATTTTAACAAAGATCGTACACGATCGAACTGTGCATCATAATCTGTCACGAATTATGGAGGATAATGTTAGTTCTACGTTCATATTTCATTTTATTTGGAATATATCCAGCGAGGATCAACGAAACACAAAATTTCAGCGCAAAACAACTTCTCTTCCCATCTTTGCTGCCCATCAAGAAAAACACGAAGAAATAAAACACACTTCAAATATTACAAATTACATACAGGTCATATGAAAAAAAGAAATGTAGCTAGATTTCGTAGAATATTATATTAAACCTGTTAATCGAACTTTTTTTCCAGAAAGCTAAGATAATTAGACCGTTCCTTTGCAACTTCGTATCGTCTTTGTTATCGATGAATTCATTTGCTCGAGAAATTATAAATCTGGCGTATTGACATGACGTGATAATAATCGTGCGAAACAATGTATTCAACCTTGTTTGCCTGCACGACGAGATGCAGACCACGGGTCAGCGTCCCTCCTCGTGTCAGGTCTCAGTCAGTATCTAGTAGATTTTGAAAGGTTTGATGACGTGGGGCTTGATTGGTTGGTGTTTCAGTCGCCGGATACTCAGGCGTGGCAGAATGATTACCTGCAGGGCACGGGCTGCGAGATGTACACGGAAACCCTCTCCCCGTCCTTTACCGGGATGACATTTCCCCAAGCCAGCGAGTAAGTTCTCGCTGCCATTGGTTGTCATACATTTGCAGTACATGTCAATATCGACAACATCATGCATACACAAACATATTATACTTATATACGAACATGTAGCATCGGACATAGTAAACGTAACGATACGTTCATCAATTTTTACCGATTCTTATACAGATTACACATGTGTACGTACAGTGGTTTACGAAAGTATTCGAACGCTTATGAGAACTCTTTATGAATACATTATGTGCATTATATAAGACATTTGAACATTTTGTAAATACCGTAATCAGATATGATTATCATGATTATATTGGTAGTATTCTTTGGAAAGAATCTGAATTTTGTGCAAGTATATATTTCACAAAAATCAAAAGTATTTAATGAATATTCAATAGAATCATTTTTAAGACTTATTATATGTTCAAGATGACTATTCATTTCTATACTAACTTTTTGCTGTATATACATTAGCAGTAAATGTCTTGTACATTCTTCTATGTACATTTTGAAATTGCTTTTAAATTTTATCGACGTAATCATGACAGTCGTGTGATATTACAGTGTTAACGATATATCAAAATGTTTTCTATAACAGACATAATATATGTATATACATGAAAGTCTTCTATGATCGAAATACTTTTACGAGCCACTGTATAGAACAACATATAAAATATACAAAACATGTACACACATATAAAATGACACTATAGTGCGAGATTTTGTTTCTCTGCCTGTTTATATTGTTGATCTCGCACATTTTTTTAATGTACTTCTCTGATACTCCGTTGTGGAACGTGTACATATATACTATTATATTCGTACGCGATTAGAATTTGTCACCCCTCACCTCAGTTTTATTTTTTGATCCTTTAAACGTTTTTTCTTCTACCGGAGTCTCTTTTGGCTAGCCGTAGTTTTTGTTTTTGTTTTGTTTGGTACTTTTGGTATTTTGAATGTATCTTTGGAAAATTTTCACACCACGTTGGGCAGAATCGTTTTATGATATAATAACGTTTGTTATTTTTGTTTTAACCAGCTCGCTGGTATTTGCCACCGATTTGTTGGAACAATTTTGCACCAATCCTTTTTATACTGTAGTAGTAGTAATGCCAGATCGATGCAGATTTCGTGACGACTAAAAAAAGTGTATATTTTAAGATCTTGATATGTAAATATTACTTTCTAAAGCATACAAAGTAATAGTATAGATAGTTTTTGAAAATATTTTATAAAGAAGGAAATTTCTGTAAATATTTTAAATGTTTTGTAAATGTTCGTTTGTTTGCTCTAGTAAGATATGATATTTTTGCAATTTTCAAAATATTAAAGAAATCTTGTTTGAAGATATAAATTTGTGAAATATATAGTATCAAATATATATATAGGTAAGGTAAATATAAAGCTGTAATAGTATGAAAATATAATAGATCTAGAAAGTTTAAAGTTTAATTGATAAATGTGCTCGTTAATATATTATTTAAATTGTAGATATTAAAAAATATTTTATTTAACGAAATCTGCATACTTTCTATAAGATTGTATTTTGTTTTTTTAGTGACGTCTTTACAGCTTCGTACAATATAAAATAACGAAATTTATTATTCATTCTATTAATTCAATTTCACTTAGTATATATCTTTGACATTTTATGCATTAGTTTTTTCCAGGGGTGGAGACGGGATTTCTTTCTATTTTTATTCTTCTTATAGTGTGTGTTCCTAGTTGTAGCGTTCTAATCTTCTCTTAACAAAACACGTTCGTTGTACACGCATGCCTGCTGCTCTCTACTTTATATCAGTCGCATACATTCAATCTCGAATTTTGAATGTGTAATACGTCACGTGAATTATAGAAAACATCCTGAACGAGTTCGCAGTTTTACTTCCCAAGTAGGCCATTTCTTAATATATTCTACACACACACAAATTCTATTAACAATATAATGAATTTTGCCGACAAAAAGCAGTTATTTTAAGTACATTTCTTTTTAATTCTTATTCTTTGACATTTCTTATACCTTACGCCTATTCTGTATTGTTTTATATCCAATTCTTTACCATCTTCTTCCTCTTCTTTACTGCTCAAAACAATTGGAGAATCGTTACCTACCTCACCTTGATTTGTATGTTCACTTTTTGAGTCCATTTGTTTTTTTCAATATTGTTATAAAGTCAACGTTTAGTATCGTAAAAATAACAAATATCAAACTGCATATAAGACTTCATTTTTTTTTATTTGTCCAGAGCAATAGAAAGATTTATAATTACCTATGCAATTATTTTGAGCAGTGTATATATTATCATATATCCTCTTTGATTTTTCTATTTAGCTGCCAAATACAAGCACCTCGTTTGGTATATTATTTACTTTATTTCACATTAGTCGTTCTTTCCTTCTTTAATCCTGTCACCATTTTCCCAATTTATTTTTGCCTATTTCTTTGTACTTTTCTTATTTCTTTTCTAGACATCTCTACTATACCAGTTACTATTTCTTCTGTCGCTATTCTACTCCTCCATCTTGGTACGCTTTCTTATTTCGTTTTTCCTTTTTATCTTCCTCTTTCACCATTCTGTTCTTTCTTTCATTACCATTCTTCAGATGTCCTTTCTGTACCTGATCTTTACCATCTTCTTTAGAAACTGCTGTGTGTTTTTCTCTTTACATTTCTTCCACGAGTTTTTTTCATTTTCTACCTTTTTTCTTTTATAGTATCTCTTCTTTTTTCCTTCTCCGTGTCACCCCTTAGCACTTCCTTTCTTTTGGCCCAAAGTCTTCTGTACCGATTCTTTTCCGTTTACAGAGTCTCTGCTACTTCATTCGAACTTCTTTTCTTTGTCAAAATCAATTTCATGTACCCCTTATCGAACATCGAAGTTAAATTTCTTGATCTACAAATTTATCAACGAAAAGATTTCAGTATTTAACTCATTATATAAATCGTCATTGATTTATGTACACTCTTGCTGCTATTGTAACACAGTATTTTTGAATCCTTAGAGGCGTTGGTCTTTATACTTCATTACAGTTATATCCCTTTATCTGATTTTTGCACTACATTTATTCTATGCACCATTACTAATGCTGAACATTATCAAATCTCTATGATATTAAAATTGAAATGAAAAAAAGAAACAGTTTTATACTTTATAATTTCAGTTGTACATAATCAAGAATCGAAGTGATCAATGGAAACGTAGTTAAAATATTTTAATAAGGACTTTTTATGAATAATTAAATAATCGTATAAGTATAATAAATTTAAGTTGATCCCTAAAGCATATTGCGAACAGAGAAATTAAACCTAACAATGTTACTCTTATTGTTAACTAAAATATACGTATAACGTAATTTATCTTAATTAAGAAATTATATTTTTTACATTTTCAGAGTGTATACCACTTGTGTAATGAATGAAGGTTAATCGTTATGCATTGCAACTACAAGTTACAATGAAACTATGAATTTTGATAAAAATATTGGAATGTTAGGTTGACACGAATTTTCTAGTCTTGATTAACAAGACCGCACCATTTTTCAAAAGTTAGTTTACTCAGCACTTGCTATATGCGTACTTAGGGTTTTATTGGTCTAGTCTAACGTAAATCTGTTAGTTTTGCACATGTCTGATGTCTTGTCACGATTTATTTTGCGTGTGCCAGAATACGTAATATAATCTATTAAACTCGAGTACTATTAGATACTAGGCATCTCTTAATTATAATTGCGCCATTTAGCATTTATTATTCGCGTTGCGCTTAAAGGCAACAACAACACTAGTTGGTCTCTTATCCGAGTTTTCGACTAGCGTAGGATATTTTATAGCCAATTAGTTTAGACAGCACTAGACTTCTTCTGTCTTCGCATGATTCGAATATATCTAATATTTCTCAACCTATCTATTCCACTGCTTGCTTTTGCATGTCCCTTTTGCTGTCTCTTTCCTTACCGAGGTGGCAGAATAGAGCGTTTTACATTCATTGATATCACGATATTAGGAAAGAAATTAATGTATATTTTCAAATAAGTTTTTAGGGGAATTTTTCACAAAGTAAAAGTATATGCACTTGATGCGCTCTGTAATGCTGTGGGTGTTTAATCACGCTATAACCAACATTCTATACTATTCGTGTGAAACTTTTACCAACTTGTCAGAAGTTTCTAAATGCTCGTGTAAAAGGAACGAAATTTAAATCAAGTAGTCAATAGAGAAGAAACTTGAAATGAACTGTTCGTTGAAGAAAATGTGTGGTATTTGGAAGCTTGTGATAAATGTAGACAAAAATATCTATGTATGAATATTTTGTTTGTGATGTGAAGATTTGTTTTCGTGCTAGTAATTATCCTTTTAGACTAACGTGTACTATTAATCATTATATAGCAGTTGCTTTTCCGGGAAATACTGTAAGAATTTTTATACAAGTAGAATAAATGTAAATAAATAGTAATGTTCAGTTAATTTGGCAACTTAATCTTAGACTGTAAAATATTAATTAAGATTCACAGTTATAAATCCGTAAAATTAGACTATAATATTCTTTTTACAGTATTTCTTACATGTCACGTTATTAGATTTTAATTGAATTTTAGATTAAAATATTTACAAATGATTTCAAGCATAACAGTTAAATAATAATTTAATAAATACATTGTGCGTATACGTTTAGTTATCTATTAGCTATCGTGCTTCATATTGTTCTTTATGTTTGATGTTTAGAATATGGAATCTATTGCGATTTGGACCAACGTAAATGATACTATACACTACATTATGTTACTTTGTACTTTCAAGTCACCATAGAATTTAAGTTGTCTTCGAAATATGTAAAATATTAAAATTTAATGCTGAATGTTTAGTTTGCGATATAAATGCTTTGCTTTGTTTGTTAAGCACATATATTTTTTCCTTAAAACACTATACTATATGTAATGTTTCTTATCTATGAGTAAAGAGAGTAACTATGACTTCGTTCTTGATACATATACTATTGAAGAACACAGAATATTATGCAAAGCTTCGTCTTAGGTTATGCTTCACGAAGTTGAAGCTGTTGCTGTTGGCAATCGAGATAAAGGGCGAAGGAGGCTGCGATAGTAAGATATCAATTAATCCACGTGGTGCCAAGATCGTAGCAAATACTCAGGGATTCTTCATTGCTCAATCTGCCGACGAAGTGAAACGGTGAGAATTGTTCTATAATAAAAACAGCGAATAAAATAAATTAAAACGAAATTTATCCATGGAGATATAGTTTTAGCTAAAGTTTCATTTTGTCTTCGATCTCCAGAGGACACCAAGCAATTAATTAATTAATTAAGCCAAACTGGAGAAGCTTCCTTTTCGATCCATTCTTTATTTTACAATCTGTACATAAATTTTTCCGAAGTAACTAATTACTGTAAATATATTTGCAGGGCGTGGTTCTATTGCAAAGCATGCCACGAGGATATAAAAGACGAAACTCTGATCAAGAAGTGCAAGTGCAAAAATTGTAAGTCTTTCTAGTCTAGTGATAGCCCTTACCGATAAATTTATAATTCTCGCTGAAATTCTCTGCTATCGAATTTCTTATTAATCGAAACTCCGTTCTATTGAACTTTACATTATATTACATATGTAATAATTAACGTTTATTACTCTGTGTACATAGAGCGCGCTAAATGTATCGAATATTATATATTGCGAATCACACCAGGATATTGAATCTTAGTTTCCATAGAAGATCAGTTACAGCAATGCGGATCCAAGCTAAGGAATTTCGTGTGACTCGCAAAAGAAAAAGAAAAAACGAGAGATTTTTTAACGACTTTTACATAAGACTAATGTTATAAGACCAGACGAATCACACAGGAAGCTCTCTTTGTCCATGATTCCTTCGCCCTTTCCTCTTTCTTTTTCTCTGTGTCCTTCTGCCACTGAAAGCCGTAGCAGTAATTATCGCGACAATTAACAAAGTGACATGGTTGTGACCATCCTCTTGTGATATATGATCTAGTGGGGCAGCAGCAGCGCTCCTGGGGCCGGGACTTAGGTAACGTCTCACACTCGCTCGCTTAGTCTTTACTATCTCGTTTATGACTATTTCCTTTATGTCTTCCTTCTTTTCTTTCCATAATTTTTTCTTTCCCATTTCTTCATTTTTCTCCCTTCTATCTCTCCTTTTCTTAAAAATCTCTTTTATTTTTGTTGAGATTATTTTGATCTGTTATCTTCATTAACATATTGACGACCACTGACGTTTTTCCATGGTATATCAATATCGTATGATAATTGGGTATAAATATAACAAGCCATATATACCATCTCTTGTAGAATGTAGTAGTATAAAGTTAATTACATATTTTGTTGTCTATTTTAATTTAAAACGAAGTTATATGAACATTTTTACGATAAATATATTAAGACAAAGCCATGCAAGTCAATAATCAGTGGCTTCGAGGAAGAAACGATTTCCGTGCATTTATTTTAGTTAATAACAATAAGTCATACACGACATATAATATTTCAAATTAAACTTTCCGTATTCTTGATCTTATCTTAATCGCAGAATCATATTTTATATATTGTGGTATTTTGAGTGTTCGATAAAATTATCGGTCACTGATGTGTTAATAGAAAAGAAATTTAATTCTTCGACCTTATTTTCTCTACTATTATTATCTACAATTATTATGATTTTTATATTGTATTTGTTTCCATTTGTTTACTTATTTTCTCCTGATACCAATATCTTTTTCTCATTCTTCGTCCCCTCTTTTTCTTTGTCTATAATCATTGCCTCTTTGCATATTTCTGTCTTTTTGTGTCTTAATTATGTGTACATATATATGCCTTCGAGTTTTTTAACCATTATCTTGCATATATACGCCAAGGCGGTGGTGGTGATGATTATGACGATGACAATGGCGATGAGATGATTGCACCTTTAATCCTCATTCAGAGACACTGTTCGACGCGATTGCGATGCCACAGTTGGGTATTTATTCGTTTTTCACGGTTCTCCGTTCCGTTCTCGTGCTTTCAATTTTTCTCGTTGTGTTGGAAAACTCGATATCCTATATGGAATTCTTTATTGAATCAAACGAAGCGCACATTTTTTAAGATTCGGTTTTGGAAGTTACGAAGAGTGTAGAAGCCTGTTCACTAGCGTTCGCGCGATGATCGTGAACAGTTTTTGAGAGCCTTTCGATTGAAAATTTGTTAATCGTTCGAGGCTCGATATTAATCGACAAATGTGTTTTTTTGTTTGATTGCCAGTCGAATAGCGTGACGTGAAAAATGAAATACCACTGACACACACGTGATATGTAACCCCTTTATAGTTCTGTCAGTTGGCGCATGTCCACCTGGCCAATCGAGGAAATTTAGTCTGCACTCTAGTGTGTGCCCTTCTCGCTCGCCTTGCATGCATGATTAGTTTCCGATTCGAATACTATTTTACGCCTTGATGATACGACAGCTTCGTACAAAAGTTCACTCGCTCTCTATTTTCTCTCTCTTTCTCTGTTAAATATATCCTTCAATTTTGCCCTCCCCTCTTTCTGTCTCTCTCTATTTTCTGTCTGTCTGTACTGTCTATCTGTTTTATCTCTATTCTATTCTCTCCAATTCTTCAAATCACTATCGCTGTTTACTTTAAACAAAAATTTTCTCTTCGATCGTGTGAGAACTTTCAATGTGCCAGCTGTCATTGATGAAACTCTGTCGGTCGGTAGGTTCGATTGATCGTAAATTAATCCCGCGTATCTTCTGCGCTTCTACTCCGGCCTTATATCATCAAAAACGTAACCTACGTGTGTTTCGCTTTCTGCGAAAGCGAGTTCCATAGGTATTTTTTGGTGATAATTTTGGTAATAATTTACCTGAAACTTCACAAATACAGCAAATTAACCACGGATCGATATTTCGTTGTAAACGTAGTCTCTGTAAACTCTACTTGTTCACATGATGTCACACAACGTATCATTACTCACACGTACCATTCGGTTCATCTGAAATCATCCGAACGAAAGGTCTGTACAAGATTCAACTTTCATTACGTTAAATCTTAAACCCTGGGCAATCAACGTTTTTTCATTGAACTCTTCCGCTATCTGGTTTTACGCAGAAATGTTCATGTTTAATGTCGTTTGGCAATTGCTAGAAAATTTGTGGGTGGAGAGAAATACATCGGAGGTAAATAATATTTCAGGAGCTTTGTAGTTTATTTTTGTACACCTTGTTAAATATCCTTTGTCCTGGCTATAGGTAAATCGTGGAAATTGAAAAGAAATTTGCAGATGATAATATAGCACCGTTACTCTTGGATTCATACGTGATGATTAAGAACGAAGATACGGAAATAAAGTATATATATAGAATGATCTTTATCACATTTACGTATTCTCACGTATGAATCAACGAATTATGACTATATATATATATAACTAATATATATAAAAAAAATATATATATAGTATGTACGTATTACCGAAGTTCGTAATATGCCGTGTTTTTGTCAACATGTTCTGCACTCAGAAATAAAGTGAAAACTTCATATAAATGTAGGTTCACAAAAGAAATTGTGTTAAAAATTGATGAGAGAAAAAGACCATAAACGTATAAATAGGGAAAATTTTTATATCAAATTCAACTTGATTTCTGATGATTTCTCTGAAGTACTGTTACATAATAATTATATATAACAATATTATACGTATAATAATACAACGTTAAAAACTTGTATCTATATTTTGTGTTGCTTCAAAATACGAAAAATATATTTTTCCAATTCGACAATGTAAAAGAAATACTGCAGATTATAGGACATGTCTGACATGATACGGATCGACGCTCCTTCTACTTACGCTCGCTACCGTAGGTTGAGGATACGTCTGGCATTATACGGTGCGACGCTTATTCCACTTACAGTCGCGCAATCTTGAGTTGGACTGTTTCCTTTGAACGCTGTATTTTTATTCGCTATTTCTCTTTTTACAAGCTTTCTTTTGATATTCTCTTTTAAATTTAACATTAAAGCGTTGAGATAAAGCTGTTTACTTTGTCACAATACCATGGAATAATCCTGAGAACTACAATCAATTTTCAACGAAGTGCAGTACGGTAAATAAGACGCTTGAATTTATATTTATATGAAATTTTCGTTTCATCGCCCCAGAACACGCTGTACAAACGTTTCAATAGTAATTCATAGGATTCCCTTGTATGTTTAATTTAATCTAATACATACGGTTATCTCTGGTTCCTAGCCCAGCCCCCTTTTTTAACCGGCGCTCCTCCCTTAACCATTTACCAGTTATTTCAGTAGACTATCCTTGCGTGTTTACTGACAAATATGTGTCCGGGCCGACTGCTCGATTTTTACAGATGTGGGGATGATGATGATGCAGACCGGCATGGTGAAAGGAAACACTGCCTACAGCAGTTGCCTCGACGGTACGCGTCTTTGTACCTTCCTTGCCGTCCTGTTCATCCTAATGCACATCCTTTGTCGAACCGTATCTACAATTTTGTCAGAATAATCGTGAAAGAAAATTACAGATTCGGATCCGGGGCAACGTATCACGAAAAACATTCATTATTCTGACAAATTCTCTCTGTTTGAGTCAAATCTCTAAGATACATAAATATAAGAGTCTAATTGGCATATTTATATAAATATTATTGATATAAATTATATTATTATACTAGATGATATTATTTATATTATATTTATATAAATATTATTCGCGTGCTCGCGCGATATTTATTTTTAAACGAAGAAACGATTGACTCAATCAGAGCTCAGTTGAATTTACGTTTAACCAGGTAAGCTGGCGTAAGTGATGCAAACGAATGCAAATCTCGATGTTCCAAGTAATTCACCGTCACACGCACTTACTCCACGATACCTGTGTTTCAACGTTCTGTAATTTGACATCGTTCGATTCGTATTGTTTCTCGCTGAGCTTTTGCTAGAGCTAACATATTTGGCGATCATTGTTTCTCGAACGAAGCAGCAACATCAATTTCAAGTTGAACGAACATCGTTCACACGTCGTATATGTACAGGATTGCGTTTAATGCGAATACTTATCGCTTCAGTTCTCACTAAGAAAACGTCGCTTTCGCAGATATGCTAATTTTTGCTAAGCACGTTCTATCAAATCGTATATTCTGTGTCTACACGTTCCTGGCTGTTACTTTTCACTGATTAAAGAACATTTGCTCGTTTCAGGCTTGCCAATGACTATCGTTCTTTACCGTTGTTCGGTGTGCTTATATCAAATCTTGTTTTTCATTATTTTTCTTATGTTTGCAATTTAAATGTGACTGTTTCATTTTTTAAACAGTTCTCTCAATTTTTTGGATTATCACGAATTTATCGAGCATCTGTCGATTTACGGATTGGTTTGACATATGAGTTGATTAAATATTGGGGAGTTTGTTAAATATCTGTAAAATCGTTTGAGATTTCTTTTTGCAATTTTTGGAGGCTATCTTTCGTATACTAAAAATATGCAGTATTATAGTAACATAATTGAAAATTTTCACAAGTTTTAGTTAGTAAGATGGGTCCATTCTTAGAAATGAAAGAACATCACTTTTTGTATCACTTCTTAACATTTTACAAAAAAAACTTATTCATTTATTGCAGGGAATTCTTTGTCTTTCCAAGATGGAATTTTATTTGATAATTTTATCTTTAGAATTTTGTTTTCATAAATTGTTGTATTCTGTTCGTAAATTCTATTTACTTTCTCGAATGAGATAATAAGTACACATATATTGCACTATAGCCACATATTTTTCTCTGTTAGTTTCCTCTTGCAATTATTGATAAATATCCTAAACAAACAGTATCTCTTGCTTCTTATCTTTGGTCACTGAGTTTTCACACTTATTTATTTAGAAAAAGAGGAATTCATTTTACTTATAGGTACAATTGGTTGTAAATTCTACAACGATCTCTATCGTAACAATGACCAAATCTATATTCTCGTTCTTTAATTTCTGGCCAATGAGTTTATTCTTTCTTTCATAAAAGGAATTTTCTTCTACATTCCAATTTCTGCATCATTGTTCAACACAGAACTGTCGTCTTCTATCTTTCTGCATGCGAAACATTAGAAACATGTTTGTTTTCTGATTAGACAGATTAACTGAAACAACAGCATTTCAAATAGACTTGAGTTTAAATACACATGTAATCTTTCTATAACCAGCAGCTAGATAAATATATATTTATATCTTTCTTCCGCCTATTATCCTCACATTTTAAAACTAACCAACACTAGATAGAATTAAAGCTACGCTTTACTTACTACTTCATATAATATATGTATACATTTAGTACAAGTTAGCAGGATGGGATTATCTGGAAAATCTAAGAATTTACGAATTATTTGAAAATAATTAACCAGAATCATTGCAACAAACTACATCTTTATGAATTATATAAATGGTTTCAACAGAGGAAATATATTTGCAATAGTGGGGAAGGTTGTGTTTGAAATTGCATATGAAACTGCTGCGTCCCTTTAATATGAAATGAAAGCGAATCATACGCGCTTAGGTGCATTTGTGTGAGTGTATCTGTGTGCATAGGTGTGCCTGTATATGTGTATATATCCTGTGTGAAAAAGAGAATTTTAAAAGTACTTATAACCGTGACATTTGTAGTTTACAACGAACCAACCAAAAGTGAAATACTTGCAAAGTGAATGCCACCGGTGTAAGCACCTTTAGTTCTAAATTTACACGGATGATGATAATCGATGCCCAGGGTTTATCGAACACACCGATTAAAAATACTTCATTCTCCCCTCACATGTTGCGCATATTTGATATCATTCACTGACATCACAACAATAACGTCGACATTGTGATATTTAATATTTTAGTCGAGTCTGAAAGAGAATACGATCTCTGACTAAATGAATATCATCGGCCACTGTGTAAACTCAATATGGGCCACGTACCTGCTGTGTATTCTCTGTGCTCCAGTCCCCATATCAGACGGAAATTTGATTTAAAGCAACGATGCTTTAAATCAACAATGTTGATCACATCTTTATCGATTGTCACGTTTTACAGTAAATTATATCCTAATGTATATAGCAATATACTATAATATACTATATTATAGTATAATATACAATATAATATACAGTATAATATAGAATATGAATATAAATATACAGTATATTATATAGTAATGTATACTATAATATATACAGTACTATATTATGTAGTTTCTTCGAGATATCTATGAATATTTATAAAACTACGTGATAAATCGGTGGAGACCAACGCGTGAATTCCCCCTTACCTGTTACCACCTGCCCCTCCACCCAGTATTTAGGTTCACATTATTTTGGTATAACGACTAACAGCTCTGGTTCTCCTCCCTTCGGGCAGTGGCCACATTCCGGAAAGGCGTGCGAGCTGTTCAAATGGTTGGAAGAGCAAGTATGTATCCCCCGAATGTAGATTGTCTTCCACGTGTCATTCCCTTGTATCTTTCTTTTCTTTTTTTTTTTTGTCTAATCTTAGCCTCTCCCCATGGTTAAGTAAAATACGACAATATAGTCGAAATTGATCAAAGAGTATATTGGTTTCGTATGGCCTTTAAATCAATATAACCTTGAATCTATCTGTTTGAACAGTATTACATGAAATTTTTGAATATTCAATTTTGATTTCATACTTCTAGTAATAGTGGTTTACGGTACTCAATCTGATAATTTAAGAAATGCAGAAAGTAACGAGTATACGTTTGGCGAAATATTCGATTTAAAGGTTAAACGCAGAAATCCTCCTTTCGATACTCATTTAAGCCGCGTGAATCATTTTCGATAATTGTACAAATTTGGCATACATAGTATTTTTGAATTTGCATAGCTGTGTTAATGTATCAGTTAGAAGAAGGAAGTTATAAAGCTAAATGATTCATCATGGCCTAGTTATTTAAGAAACTCGAATATCAAGGTTTCTAATTGAAAAACAAATCTTTGTTCGAATACATGAAACAAGCAGCACAACGTTCGATCATTTTTATATATATATATATCCTTAGCTTCTTAATTTCGTATTCAAAATTAGAATATATATATATCATGAACGTGTTCGTTGTGCTAATTTATGTGATTTTATCTGAATCTGATACTAATTGGTTTCGAAGTAGACTACTGTTAGTGTTTTGAACTCCTATTGGTGTGATGTCTGTCTTTTATTTCTCATTTTTTTGTACTTTTGCAACCGAAATTACTATTTACATTATATTTCTATCGATGTCGTTTTGAATGTAGTTCTCTGGAGGTATGTAAGTGTCTTTTTTTTCGATGGTTATTGTTGTGAGTGAATTATTACAAGTCTAATCCGAACGGAACTTCGCGGCGATGTGATTGCCTTGAGTTTTTTTTTTTAACTACTTCTAACTTGATCTTGCATCGGTGTTCAATATCTAACTATATCTATTCGACATGTTCTTAGAATATCTTAGAATTAGTGTTTATTTGCGTGATTTATTTATACGATCTATGGCAGAGTCGATATGTGATTATCATTGGAGAAGTCGTTCCTCGATATCCTGATATTTAATTGCTTCTAATTCTTTAAGTGTTCTGAAACATGTTGCAGATGTTGAACGATTACAGGTGTTTATATTAAGTGTGCAGTACTTATGTGCTTCGAGTTATCGCAAACTACATTCCAAGAAAACCATGTGCTTTTATGTCCCAATCATACCTTTTGAGAATTTTCAAACACAAATAAATATCAATATACATATATACAGTATGTTACACTTAAGTGAGAACAGTGGAATACCTTAGAAGGGATTGAAGTTACCAAAAAAATATTCTTATAAAAGTCAATCTAATTTTTTTAAATGACAGTCTATGCCTTTTTATTCATCATACGATAGCATTTGTTGAGACAAATTCTACGACCTGCCACATAATGTTCCGCTTTATATCTTTGCAACTTTTCAAACAATATATATTTGATACCTGCGATATCTAGCAAGAATTCCATCGTCTGGCTTAAATGTAATATCCCGTACTTCATCTGAGCTATTTAACTTCTACAAAATATCAAGTAAATTGGAACGTTTCCTTCTCCAGTATTTTAGTTACTCTATCATAGGAAAAGCAATTGATAAATTCGGATAATATCCCTGCTAATCGAATACTTTGACGGTTCCGTATTCATGATCGATCGTTCTCCATAATTTGTCGCACACAGCTTTACAGTTTTTACAATCGACATAACTTCGTAGTTCTATTAACCTAAAGTAAGCAGTATAAAAAAGCTTAAATTAAAGATGAGAATATTAACTATATGAGAAAAGAGTAAAAAAAAAAAAAAATCTTTAGATACTCAAGCACCTAAATAAGTTTAATCTTGAATCCTGATATATTATGTGTACTAACACGATTGAATCTGCTGCAAGTAAATAAGCTGCGTGATTACTTCAATGTTCGCGTGCCGCGTAAAAAAGTGAAAATGTGAACGATGTTACGGGATATAGTATAAACGGGAGATAAAAAAAAAGTATATAGAAGGAGGGTAAGAAAAATCAATCGACAGTTTCACTTCGCACCGCTCATCGGAGCCTTAACACGATCATTCTCTCTCACCTGTAATTCATCTATGATCCATGCGTGCATATATGTATATCTATGTATATCATCACGAAACATTACACGTAGGCGAGCGTGTGCACGACGCACGCACATTTAGAAAACCACCGATATATATATATACATATATTACCATGCATATACGTGGCCGCGAGTACGTGCACATACAAACACATTATTGTACACCGGAACATGAAGAAAAGATATCTTTAACTAACTTTCTATGTGTCTATCTGTTTGAACTTTCTTCTCTTCGTCCTCTACTTCTACTTAGGTGAAGACTTCTCGTATGCAAGTAAGTCTAATATAGAGCGGGTGTATAATCAATATCTATGTACATAATATGTATGCATACGTTGCCGCGAGAATCTTTATAATGATAAGGCATAGATGATAAGACAGTAGTCTGTACATGGTCACTGGATGTATCGTAATGTCTCGTTTTATTTTACGTGTTCGATTCGTATGTTTATATGTTTATTGGTACCTCTAATATATTTGCATATTATTAGTCAAATATTATTTTTCAATTTGCTTGATCTATCTTTTGGAGCATTGAGAATTTTATAAAGAAAGATCCTTGCCTTTTTAAAGATGAAGTATCTCAGAACGATATTAGTTAATAATATATGTATACAGGGTGGTTGGTAACTGGTGACACAAGCAGAAAGGGGGTAATTCTGCGCGAAAAAAAAATCGAAAATATAGCATAAAATTTTTTTTTAATTTTTTTTTAAATTTTTCCATCGAGATAACAATCTACAGTGAGATCCGTTATAACGAGACGTGATAAAGTGCACGCGTACCGAGCGAAAATTCAAAGTCGATTTTCTCGAAAACAAAGCCTCAGACGAAAGATTTTTATTCTATATTTTCGATTTCTTTTTTCGCGTAGAATCACCCCCTTTTCGCTTGTACCACCAGTTACCAACCACCCTGTATATTAATGGGAAAGACTCTTTACTATAGAACATGAAATGAATTTTTGTACTTTAAAGTTATTATCATGTGCCACTATAATCACATATCACTATAGTCACGTATCATATACGTGTGTAATTGATACAACACAAAAATTACTGTAGTCAATCTCATATTAATTCCTTTTTTATAAAAGATAAATTAAAAACGTTCAAACAAATATTACAACTGCTTTTCTCAAGTAAACCAATCTTTTCTAAGAATCATAAAATTCAACATATACATTTCAAATGATATCGTTAATAAGTATTCTAGTAATTGATACCACAGTAAATAACAAAAAGAAAGAAAGAAGAAAGTACTAGACTCGAAAAATAAAGGATTTTTCTCTATTATTGTACAATAAATATTCTATACTTTATATTCCACGTGTCTTATACCAATAAACATCGAAATTTAAGAATCAATTAAATGCTGTAAAATGATCTACGCCATGGCAAGAGTATAAAGTGACCTTTTACACGCGCTACAGTTTCCCTCCCTCGGTCAAGTTAAGCTTATGTTAGGAGCTTAACGACGCCAATGGCAAAAGAAAAGTGCTCACAAGATAAAGAGCTGCATTCGATTCGCGAATAGTTTTGCAAACGACGAGTTTCACATTAGTTCTACACCACCGACGATATCTCCCCTTTTGTAACTTTGCTTTGACACGGTAGAAATTTAACAATATTTTCGAATACTCTCACGAATTTCCCAATCTATCGCACGAGTTTATATCTATCAAAGACTGCACTTGCAATATCGAGTAAATATTCACATCGTAAGAAGTTATTACTGCATGTCTACGTAATCATAGAATGGTAGAATAGAATATATAGTTTGTCAGAGGTAAAGATAATATTTTTATTTTTCTACTATAATCAGTTAACAAAAAAAAAATCGTTTCCTTTATTTTATATAGAAAATTAATTTCTCTGTATTTCTTCGATTTTCATTCTTTACCTCTGTGAATTTTAGCATGAAATGAGTATTGTCTGTGCACAGTGCTTCCAAGTTTTATTACGAGAACGTGTATATAGTTCGCCACTACTTTAGGCTACATTTGTACAACGCGGAGGAGATTTACGATGTACAGATTGTTTTTTGTCCTGTTTTAATATCGTGCACAATTGAATAGTGTCTCCTTTACTTCTGGACTCGTCCGCGTTGCAACGAGCAGCAATCTTCAAAACAGAAGATTTCAAAGTAATATCTCGACTAGATTACTTACAATTGTTTAATTAGAATAAGCTCTGTTCCAGTCAGGGATAATAGAAACGTTATTCTGTTTGCAAAATGTAGACTGGCTATGTAAGTCTTTATTTCTCCACAAATTATATTCTTTTATAATTATTTCTTTGCATATAATTTGTTTCTTAGGCCAACTGCATAATTGAACTAATATTATTAGTAAAATTTTATTTGCTACTATTAATCACAAGTTACAAGTTACCAGTAAATAAATTCTTTATTTGTCAATAAGTTTGTTACAGTTTTATAAATAAATTTTACGAATGAAAATTTTGTTGATTTTCTTTATAATTGTAAACGTATTAAAAAGAAATCCATGGCTAAGACTTGTAAGTTGTTACTCCACCAGTATTATTAGTTAATAAACTATTATGTAAATAGGTGGTACATACATATAATACCTGGTACATACATGTGTTACACGTTAGAAAGAATGTGCTCGTTTAAAAAATTTCTGCTTTCGATTCTTCACGCAAGCACGTAGCGAAAAGATAGAGAATTAACATTACAAATAGTTCAATCTGTATGTACCTTGATATAATGATAAGGCTTACTTCCGGATCTCTTCTATCAGTCTAACATGGATACAGAATAATTGTTAATATTTTCCTTTTATTCAAACAATGACGTATGTATTTGGAAATATTCGCATAATATCGCATGGAAAAATAATTTCAATAATATACAGAATAATATTCTGCATAATCAACGTTATACAGTTGATATCAAGTTACTATTGTAATTATATAATTATAATAGTAGCAAGATTAATTTTATTGATGTGCAAAAATTCAAATAGCAATCAAATGTTATTCTCTTCATAAATGAGAAAATTAAAAAAATTGATTAAAAATAATCAAATAATCCTCAATTCGCGAATGAAAAATTGTTCAAAATCGATTAAAAATTATCATACAACGACACTCTCTTCATGAATGGAAAATTAAGAAGAATCAATTAAAAAATATAATCTAAAGCTCTTCTCTCGTGGAATGAACAATTTGTAAAAATCGATAAATGGCTGGAACGGAGCTAAAGTTTAATTAATCGAAGCGCAAGCATAGGAATGGCCAGTGGTAGCGATAGTGTAGCGAACTAGGCCTTAGGTAATTAGGGTAGCTAACATATGTAGTGGTTTGTTACAGACGACCACCATCCTCCCCCCACATTCACTCCGCCAGAACTGCCCAAGATGGTTCACGTAAGAGGTACAGTTACACCTCAAATCAAAACCGTGCTACAATTTTTGCAAGCTGCCCTTCTTAATTTTGATGAACCACATGATTATACGGGTATACTGTAATCAATCGCTTTCAGTCTCTTGGACGAAGGAACGCGAAGAGCTGCTTCACGAAAGAAAGTGCTTCGCTCTCTCGATTAACACTTTTTTTTTAACAAGTATCTGCACTCGGTTTTCTGATGTTCTTTCTTGTTTTCTGTTTATTACTTGATTTTTCTTTTCTATGCATCATGACGAATACGCTTCATCGACTGATTTTTTACTTTTTTCTAGGGATTCAACATGATGACATTTTCGACTGATTTTGTTTTTCTAACAGTGCCGGGTTTCAAATATTTTTAGATCTGAACTGGAATGATTGTTTAAAAACTGTCGATACATGCTTAAAATAGATACGAAGTTACAGGTAGCAAATGAGAAATAAATAATAATGTGTAATAGAGTAATAATTTGAATTATAACTTTCAAACCAGGAAGGTATGCTTTTATCACTGATTTTTTGCAATCTTTGGTTATGATATTTTTATCAAATTTATGTATGATTGATAATAACGATATATCTAATATTTATTAGTTTATAGATTTATAAAGACTACCTGTTGCTATAATATCGCAAATAAACGAAGTATTTGCAATAGCGAAGTTAAATAAATTGCAAGCCAGAAGGATATGTAGTACGAAAAGTATATTTATATCATAAAGTTATATGAACCGTCAACTCCATAAATTGAAAAGTAAAGAGTACTGATAATGTTACAAATTTCTCAAATGTTTTCAAATTTATTGAATTTATTGAATTTATTTATTAATTGAATTTCATTCAAAAGATAATGATCACATTAAACAATTGTTTCCAGTTGCTACATCAAGAAAGAAGGAAAATATTTTTCGAAACTTTTATATAAAAATTAATGATAACAATGAGGTTTCAATAGTACTTACATGAGAAATTTCAATTTAAAAAACTCCAGCACTGTTTCTAAATATATATGGAATATGTATCTAAAAGCGCGCTACTAATATTTTCATTTCGATTTTGGAGAAAGTAGAGAGGAATTTAAATTTATAAAATGAATCAAATTATATTTTTGAAATTGAAACATTGATTATATCACGATCTCGTTATTGACTACTTTCTCCGGTTTCGATGAGTGCATGCAGCTACAGTAGATACGTTATAGTTTGCATCTTATGTTATCAGTTTTATTAATTTCCTACAAACGTAGTCAACTTTTTTGTAGTTTAACTTTAGTTCTAACCATGCAATCATATTAGACGACACATAATCTTTTTTCTTTCCGTTTCTTTCGTCTTTAGTTTCAATGTTTTCTGCAAAAACCACTGTGATTTATTATAAAAACGTACGATCATCATAGAGTTTCATAGTTACTAGACTCTAGCATCGGTTATGTTTCGTTTTAATTTGGTTCTACTGATTATTATAGTTTCGAAGCAACATCGGTTTATAGACAAAACACAATGATTAATTTATTTGAAGTTTCAGCCATAGGAAATATTATAATTCTCATATACATTTTATATATAATTAGTTATATATCTCGAGTGCAAAGTAATTATTTATAATTTCAAATAATTTCGAATAATATGAGTCACTTAATTTATTTGAAATTTTTATCACAGGAAATGTTATAATTGAGCGTCGTATACTTTTCAGTATACAGAATTGGTTATTTAACTTGAGTGCTAACTAACTAATAATTCGAGGTAATAAAATATTGATAAATAGCTTGAGTCATTTATATTTAAGAATTGACTCGGACAATTCGGTAACGTAATAGTGCAGGAAAGAAAGTCAATCCGAAAGCTTGATAACCTTATCCGCGACAAACATACCTTTCCATGTAATTTGTGCAAAATATGCAAAACATTCGCTGGTGTTCGTCTGCGTAAGTAGTGAAGCAGGAATTTAAAGATATCAGCGTTTCTCACTCTTTAACTTTCTTGCAAAACTAAACACTATACGTATGATAGAAACCAATTATTCAGCGAGGAAAAGTATATAGAAGAATTTACAACACGTAAATTTCGTGGATAGTTTGAGAAATGCTGTTTGAATTGAGAAATTTTGAGTGATATTCGATCTTTACGATGGAATTTTCTGTGTTCTATGTAGATTATATTATTTGGTTTAGGATGCTTAGAAATACTTTTTCGATATTTCTTCTTTGATATGTGTGACTCGCATATGTCCTCAGTATATTCTATAGTTTATTGTCATTTAAATATTATGCGTTTTATTTGTGTAATTTTTAATATCGAGTGTAAAATGAACAAATTGATAGTTGTAGAAAGCACGGTAGATAAACAGACACCGTATAATTTCTTATTTATTTCTTATGGTAATATTAGACACAGCACAATTTTTTCATATTTTTGATCGTTTCATTTTTTAAATTTATTAAATATAGGTGGTGTTAACAAGACAAATGCTAATTTTTTTTTCTTGACTTATGCAAATGGCGCGTGCCACGATGGCTAGAAATTGCTTGCGTTCGTGAATGTTTCTTGGTTTTCATCGATACGTCAGATTTTCTTTTAAGAAGGTCCTCGTTACAAAATTTTAGCACGCGAGTTTTTTTTTATATTCAGAAGAAAAATGTGTTCTGTATTCAGAAATGAATCAATTGATTTTTTAATAATAGATCATTTAATGCATGAATATTGTTAACTGTAAAAGTTATTTGTTTTAAGAGTGGTAGTATATCAATAACATAATGTTAATATTATTATGATTGTCACATTTTTGAGATTTAAGAAATTTTATCAGCAAATAAGTGGAAAATAAATATTCATGAATGTTTTCACTGTATTTTATGATTTATCAATAATAACATCAACCGCCAATTTATTTGAAAAGTGACTTAAAAAAATAATAAAAATACAGGAATAATTTTTATAATTTTAAATGAATAAGGGAATTTTATTATCAAATGATCATTCCTAAACTATTATTTTCAAAGGATAATATTCGTCGAATTTTCTTTAATGTGATGCAACTTCTACAGTATTAGCGTAACTTTAATAGAGCAAGAATGTTTTTTTTCATTTGCCAATATAACAGTATGTGTATAATCGACATATTCTTGAAAACCATAAGTACTTTGCCAGTCCATAGCAATTCTAGTTATTCAAAATTGAAAAGATGGCACGTGCGGAAAATTTCGAACGAAGTACGCGTGTAAGTAAGCATGAGGCTATAGGCTCTTGTCGATAAAAAGTAAAGTGCGTTATAACAAACGAAGTTAGGCCACGATCAGCGTGGCACTGAGTAATTTGTCTTAATCATTGTTGCTTTGTCTATTAGCTACGTTAAAAAATATATATTTATACAGAATTTAATTCTAATTTACGAATTTTAGGTGAGATCAGTCGCGACCGAGATGATCCAAACGGTAATTACAAACAAACATCTATATCCATTAGAAATATAATATTATATAGCTACAGTGTCGGCTAAAAATATTAGAACATCTATGCACTTATCGTACTTATACTGAAAAGGTTCAACACATTTTACACTATTTAATATATTTGATATACTTTTGAAATGAATTTCTTACGTTGGAAAGCAACTATTTGATAAATCTATTTGATAAATTTTACATTATAAGCAGGAAAAGAACAGATTTATAATAAAATAATTAGAAAATGAAAGTAGCGTAAACCATTCAGTTTGTACCAAATGTCTAGACAATTTTGTCCACGCAAAGTAGGTGTTTTAATAATCGTGGCCAGTATTATACATAATAATTAATAAAAATATAAATACTGGTCATATATACATGTGCGTATAATATTATATTATCGTGTTACAGCGATGAGAAATCACCGGAATTCCGTCGGGATGACCATGATGAATTCAACAAAGCAGGTGAATAAGGTGAAACCGAATGTGAATCGAGCGACGAACGACAGTTTATCCAGTCCAAATCAACCGTACAATCAGAGGTATTCGTTTTAATTTAGATCTAATCCTCTCTTTAATGTGTACAACATGGACGTGCATCGTCCTTGCATTCGCTCTTCATTGTTCGCATTTTTTAATCACTTGCCATAAATATTTCATTACACATTAACAAACAGCGTGCGAATTTCACTACTGAGAATTAATTACACGTTAACTATTGAACTCATCGATCGAAAAAAAAAAGAATTAATGTTGCTGGAATTTTATTTTCAAATTTTGTTTCACCGCAAAATTATCCTGTGTTTATTTATTTTACGTTAAAAAGTAATTCTTGTGCACTCAAAGTTTAATTAGATGTGGTCACTATATATACATACAAGCATAATTATATAAAGTGTGATTTAATATATTCGGTTGTTATATAGTAACGAAGTATATGTACACAATTACAACAGCAGTTCGTGGTGAATTTTTCCTGGTGACTTCTCTGTCTGCATCTAAGCACTCTCACTATTGTACGAACTTTACGGTTGATCCTGTTTCTCCTCTATTTGCACGAGTAGAACGACTCGAGCTTTTATTTCCACACAATTTTCTTAAGCTGTATACAATGGGTTATTCAAACTGTACATCGTTTAGTTCACTCTTAATACGTAAGTCGAACAAAATTCATCGTTGCATATACATCGTAAGATGTTTGTTTTTAATCGCTAACAAAATCATATACATTTTGCAATACCATCATGAAATCATTTTAAATCATGTACTTTGAATAACCTAATGGAATGTCGAAGCAATTACTCGAAGCGATTCATCTCACAAAATATAAGGACACTACTCTGTTAAAAGAATCTTCGACGAAATAATTTATCTTTACAGAGTGCACTACGCTGTCTGACACAGTATTCTTTCAACGATATATTTGCATCTATCTTCCTTTAATCAGCATGTTTTTAAAAGTTATCCAACATAAGTGACGATAAATATTCTATTATTACTATTCTCGGTAGAGAACTTCCATGCGATCCAGAATCATCTTCATGAATTCAAGTAATCTTGCAACAGGTTACATACTGTACGATCAGTTTTGTTCATTATTTAGTTTCCTGCGATTAATTTTATCGAAGCAGTATATTCTGAAACTGTTCTGCGGTTCCAGAACGGAACTTTTCTGCGGGAATTGCTATCAATAAAAGGCGCTGTACAACGTAAATTCATTAAAAATAGACATTCCCTGTTTTCCCCTTATCCTTCTAGCAACACGCAAAAGTTCGTGATGGCTACGAACTAGCAGTATATTGGGTCCACGTATCGTAACAAACTGTGACATGCAGAATTAGAGGTATAATTTTTACAGTTGGTGGAAGACATCCTTTTAATTGATGATACATTTCCTAGCGTACGTAGCTCGAAAAATAAAACGAGGACAAAGCCAATATAGTAACGTTTTAGCAGAGTTTTTTGTTGTAATGAGATTATATATTTCTTTGTAATTAATTTTTAATATAATTAATATCGTAATACTGTAACAATTTCCATCACTCAAATTGTTGCTCATACCGAAGAAAGCTGAGGATAATAGATTTATTTAGAGATATCTCTACGAAATCTAATATTCCTCGTGCTAAAAAGTAAATAATTATTGTTAGAGTTACACGATGTAATACTCAGGTATAATATTTTCTTTTCCATTTATTTCCTCTCTTTTATTCGATGGCTCACGAAAATATTATATCGCATGTTAACAAGTTGATAGCAGCCCATGAAATATAAATTCTTCCTCTTCCTACGCGATATCCAATGACCAGCTTTTACCTGTTATGGTAGGACCGCTGTCTGTGCTTTTATAATTTTGTATATGTACAGCTGAAACGTGAGAAATCCCTATATGATGAAATCCGCTTGTTTGCACCACACTTATTGTGTTGATCATTGTTTAGAACGAGGACAACGAATTTATCCTAGTATTTATTTTTTTTCCATGAATACACTGCAATTATATCCATTCCTCACATTTGTTTGATCAATATAGAATAGATGTCAAACTTTATCAAAGCAGATAATTCCAATGGAGGAAGCTACATAATTCTTACATTTATATATTTTTTCATTTTTTAATGTTACTGATCCAGAAATGAATCATTTTGTCGTACATTACGTTTTAAAGAAAAAAAGAAAAGATGAAAAGAAATCAAATATCCGAAATTTTCAAATTTCATAACCAATCATGAAAATCATTATGTATTGTCACTGCTATTTATAAATGAACTTTTTCATTCTTGTTTCCTTATCGTTATGATTTAACGTTATTCGATGGCGAACGAAGAAAAGAGCGTCTACAAATCGACGAATCCAACGTTTCAAATGCCTTCTGATTCCAGATCGCAAGAGGAGTCCGCATACCCTGGCTACCATCTCGCCTACGAAGTCAAAAAGCTCATGTACGCTTCTTTTGTTACGTTAACTGTCACGTTGAGCGCGCTGTTCTTTCTTCTACACTATACGTTTGATTGAATATATTTGCAATATAGAAATCTGCTTGCCAAGATTGCATGCGAATGCTTATGTTGCAGCGTATTTCGATCATTTTCCTCTTCTAATTATCTTGTTTATGTAAAAATTAAATTTTTCTTTGACGATCGGAACCTTCTCCAAGCTTTCTCTTCCATGTGATTTCGTAGTTACTTTTGCTTTGTTTATTTTGCTTTATTCTCTGCTACATTTTCACTCTTTACCGATAAACTATCAATTAATTTGCTACAGGCATGAAAAATATCTACCATTATAATGAATTTCATGAATTAATCTGCATGAGTATATGAACACTTACAGCAAACCGAAACTTTTGTTTCATCTTAAAAAAATGGCAACGAGTCCGAAGAAATTGTGTTGTAAACGATCCAATTTACAATTTTAAAGCATAATCGATTCAGCGAGTATAATTACATTTTCGTGTAACTTAACTTCGCTAATTTCTTTTAATTAATTACTAAAGGCAGAAATTTATTTATATCCAGTAATCCGTAGTAAATTGCAATGAAATTAACACAGCCCATTTTATAAACTAGTGCAGAGTATCTTGAAAGTATTTTAAGGTTGAATGTGTCTAATTTTTCGTTCGTTGTCGGTTATGATGTAATTAATGTACTTACTAATTCTATTATATCACGCATGATTATCTGGCAATTTGTATACTAGATACAGGAAGGCATTTATTTGCGACGTAAGATATTGCAATAATCGAAATAGTTTTGCTGTTTAAGATACACACGCTCATTAACTGTCATGACATTTCGCGATCTCTGAATGAGAATTTTTCGTTAAATAAGAAAATATATATATGAAACAACTACTTTAGAGATAACAGTTGGCAATTAATGAGTTAATTTATTAGGGGAAACATAGTAAAATAATTAAGGAAGACAAAGGATAAGTAGTTATATAACTATACTGCTTACTTAAGTTATAGTTTCAACTAGTATTCATTCGCTTGAGTATTTCAGGATTATTAGCTTTAATAGGATAGAATAGAATACAGCTAAAGAGATGAAGTAAAGCTAAAAACACAAAAAATTAGTCACGAAAGATGTTATTACATCTACTTGCGCGTATTATATAAATCTAGTATTTTACTAGTATTTATTTTGTTATTTAATCGAGTAAAAATGAACTGCGATTTCTGTATAGTAAAAGTGAAAATTATATTTTTAGGCCGACGAGCAGAGCCTCGGGCGGTACGAACGTGAATAACAACGGTGGTCTTCAAGTCGGAATAGCCGACGATCAGGCGAAGGACTTCGATTTCGAAAAGACCGAAATGAAGTACGATTCAACGGGTATGTTCCACTGGAGTCCATCCCGTAACCTCGAAGACTGCATACTGGATCGTAATCAGGCGGCGATGACAGTTCTAAATGGACATGTTGTTGTTTGCCTATTCGCCGATCCCGACTCGCCTCTCATCGGACTGAGAAACCTTGTCATGCCATTACGAGCTTCCAATTTTCATTACCACGAGCTTAAACACGTAGTAATAGTTGGGTCTGTGGATTACATCCGCCGCGAGTGGAAGATGTTGCAGAATCTACCAAAGATTTCGGTGTTAAACGTAAGAAATCTTTCACAATTATTCAATTTCTTTTTTGATTATTACTAACTGTTAATTACTTTTTTATTATTATAATGTAAATCTTCTTTAATTATTCAATTTCTTTCTTTTGCTATACTATAACATAAATCTTCTTCGATTATTTAGATTGTTTTCTATTACACTTTAAATAAATACCTCTGCATAGTTTATTTGTATTTTGTTTGTGCCACTGTGAAAATAAAAATTTTCCGCTTTACTAGAATTTATGAATTTGCGAAATTTTGTATATTTAAAACATATAGACCCAAATATACGATTGTAACTATTTATCCCGTTTATTTATTTTTGCATAAATTTATCCTGTATATTCATTATATTTATTATAATATATGTAAGGCGAATTTGTGTTATAACCCAATATAATCAAACGTTTCGAACTAATATAATTATTTTTAACAACAATATATTATAAAAGAAGAAAGAAGTGTCCGAATTTAAGAATGAGCATTTGCAATGTAATTACGTGTACTGTGGCAGGGTTCACCATTAAGCAGAGCAGATCTGCGTGCCGTTAACGTGAATCTGTGCGACATGTGTTGTATCCTGTCGGCTAAAGTGCCTAGCAATGATGACCCCACCCTCGCCGACAAGGAAGCCATCCTCGCGTCCCTTAATATCAAAGCTATGACATTCGATGACACCATTGGAGTGCTCAGCCAAGGTTCGTAATATCCTCTCAATATAAAGCTCGTGTTTTAATGAACTTTCGAGTTGAACGACTGCCTATATCCTATCTTGTACATTTCATTAAATATTAAGTGGCAATTCCAGCAAATAATGAGCAAGGTAATTTGACCGCAGTTGGCAGCCCAATCGTTTTGCAACGACGGGGATCAGTTTATGGAGCAAACGTGCCAATGATAACAGGTACACCTTACTTACTATTTTATATGAACATTACACGAAAAGAATGTGAATCTATCTTTGTCGATCTTCCGATTTTCACGTCACTTGGTAGCTATGTAAAAATATTTGAACGTAGAATTGTTGAAAAGAAAAATAATGCGACAGATTCGAAGACACAACTTGTTTGGAAATAGATAATACAGTGTTCGGAAATAGATTCACAAAAGAATATTTTTGCAAGAAACGAATAATATTAGTTTAATTTGATTGATATTAGTCTGCGTAACATATGTCATTAATATTTTTTTAATGTCCATGAAGCTGACAAAAACACATATTTAATCACAAAATCAAGTGCAAACATAGTTTCCATGTGCAATTAGTTGGCAATACATAGAATTTTGAAGTTGCTCTTTAATGAAAGATGAAAAATATGTCTCAGCTGAAATCTTCATATATAGGATAAAGAATTTACTTATTGTTTTTCTTATTGATTTATTATCACTGAGGAAGTTAATACGCCATTTATATTTTCGTGTTTTTGTTAACAGAACTCGTAAATGATAGCAACGTGCAGTTCCTTGACCAGGACGACGACGATGATCCGGACACAGAACTGTACCTTACCCAACCGTTTGCTTGCGGTACTGCCTTTGCCGTCAGCGTATTAGATTCATTAATGTCGACGGTTAGTAGCATTCTATAATTATAATGTTAATATTTGACTAAAGACCTTACTGTGGCGTCGTATAAATATTAACTACTAATATATAATTACTAATAAATTATATGAATTTTTCTGTAAATATAAATTAGACGATCGTGATAGCGTCAGTTGGTCATTTATCACTCTATTGTTATTTATTTTATTATTCTTTAGAAAGAAGCTTCAACTTCGTAACTTATATCTTTATATTAATCGTAATACTTGCTTTTATTTCTGTGACAGACGTACTTTAACCAGAACGCGCTGACTTTAATTCGATCTCTAATCACTGGTGGAGCAACGCCTGAGTTAGAGTTAATTCTCGCTGAAGGAGCAGGTTTACGAGGAGGTTATAGGTAAATCGGATAAAGTTTGACACATACATCCTTCTTCACGACTCACGGGATGCTTGCTAATTTTAAACATAATAATTTTAAACATAAACTCTTCTAAGTATGCAATCCGTAATCAAGATTATGGTTACGGTGGTTGCATGCTCTGACGAATGAAACATCCGAGGAGCGAAATTTACATATACTCATAGGTATCTGAATATTTAATTGTTAGAACATGTACTCATTATAACCATTTACGGACAATAGTGTAAAAATGTTTCATACTATTTTAATGATACTTTTTACCAATGCCAAGTGTTTTTACTAACATCAGTGTCGATAAAAATGTATCATATTTCGAATAATACACAATTGACTTATTTATTTATTTACAGTACACCTGATAGTCTGGCAAATAGAGATCGATGTCGAGTAGGTCAAATCGCGTTGTACGACGGGCCATTGGCTCAATATGGCGAAGGAGGCAAGTACGGTGACCTCTTTGTCGCAGCATTAAAGTCGTATGGAATGCTGTGCATTGGTCTGTACAGGTACAGGTATCGGACTTTTTTCCTTCTCTCGATGGTATTTATTGGATTACTCTACACAGAATATACGCATATATTATATATATACATATATATATCTTTTTCTCTAAGAATCTTTCATCTTGCTGCTGCGATTATACTGCCATTGATTATTCTCTTACTATATCATTCTTGTACTTACTATATAACTTTTGATTTTTTGCCGCACACTTTTGCATTTTGCGTTTTCGCGTCACGAAAAAAAAAAGAAACGACGATCGTAAGTTGCCTTCATCCAACAAATACCCATCATTTTTTATGATTGTCTCTTTGTATCACTTGTTTGTTTAGTGTTTAGTTACTGTTGCCAGCGTTTAGTTTAGTTTTAGTTTTAGTTCTATAGTTTTAGTTTTAATCGTTCATATGTGTATATACATATAAATATTTAGCTTAGAATCGTAAGTTGTCTCGAAAGCTATGAGTATTCCACACGGCTGACTTGTAACTGAATTTTAGGTTTCGAGATACCAGCTCATCGTGCGATGCTTCCTCTAAACGATACGTCATTACAAATCCTCCAGATGACTTCACGTTATTGCCTACAGATCAGGTACGAAGGGCTTCCATGTCTATTGCTCGATATCACCCGATTATACTATTCGATTGATTATTATTTTAATTATTTACGATTAAGATATAAAAGTTTATTATTAAAAGTTATTATTTTAATGATAATATTATCTTTTTACTGAATAACCTGCAGGTTTTCGTGCTGATGCAATTCGATCCAGGTCTGGAATACAAGCCGAGCAGAGGAGCTCGGGGAAAGGATGACGCCTCCTGACTGTTGCTGTGTAGCGCCCTCACAGACGGACCTTATTCCTACATATAATTACGCAAAGGAAACGCATCATGCCGCCCGTCGTCCCTACTGAATCGACTTGTAGTCTTCATTGGCTGGCATTACAATACGATGCCCTCAACGAATTAATCGCAAAACCCCGTCCATAGAACGAATCATCAACACGTCCGTTTTTTCTGCTGGTTATGTGTCGCCAGTGATATATTTCGTCAATACTCGTATAGCTGAATTCGGTTTCCCTCTAATAGTGTCCGCAGATTTCTCTGTTCCTTGTTATTTATCGCTAACGTGATTTCTTTTCACATCGTGACCGGAAACATTTCTACGTTGAGGCTTGGTTGTGTAATAAATAAAAGAAGGAATACAACATCAAGTGATAAATAAAGAAGGAAAGAAAGAAGAAGAAGCGAATGAAGAAGAAGAAGATAGGATAAGGATAAAAATCTGCCAAGGGAAATAAAAAAAAGGAAGAGAAACGGTAAAGGGATACCGGGATACGGTATGATGAAACACGGTCCGAGGGTAGCTACACGTTAAGCTTCCTAAATCTTCGTAAGACATGAAATTATTAATTGTCTTCGATGTTGAAGGCCGCATAAGGACTGAACGGGCTTATTCTGAAGCGTAAAAAGGTGTGTGACTATAATTCCACGCCCTATGCTTTCAGGAGAATACAGAAGTACAGAAGAAAACAAGCAAAAAAAAAAGATAAGAAATAATACTTAAAAAACAAATGCGAAGCAAAACAGCTTAACTATAAACGCTTGAGAACATCTTCAAGGCTGATCGCTGAGGAATTGTAATCGCCTTCGCGACTTAACGTATACCATCGCTGTAGCTCATTCAGGATATGTAAATAGGTACAGAACAGGTGAATATGTTGTCATTCGACGGTAAACTATAAAAACAAAGACAAAAAAGAAAAAAAGAGAAAAAGAAGCGGAACGTGGAGGAAAGAGGAAGATATAGAAGATATGAAACAATTGATTGAGATATAACTGCAATGACAGGACCGTTTTGGTTCCTTTCATGTAGATGCATTGTTCACTTTGCAAGACAGTCGTGTGTTCGTCTCCTGTATCGTGATTTTGTATCTTGCCTTGTGAGCAAATGGAAATATGTATACATATATGTACATGTATCTGTATATGCGTATGTACAGGGTGATAACTGTAACTAGAACAGATCATAGCTCTTACTTGGAAAATGAAAGGATACCGACGATAGAGATACATGATTTCACTTTTCTTATGGTTACGTACTTTCTTTGCAAATGTGCCTCTATGTTTCTATATTAAACGATTCTCTTAATTACCTTGCGAATAAGAAACAATATTCTTATTCCATAAACGAAGTAATTTAAATGACACACCTTTCACGTTAAGATGTGATTCGTAACTTCCTATGTATTGTGCAGCTGAAAGTTAGTATCATATTTAATGGTATGAATTTTCATCAGAGAAGTGAAATGTCTAGATTATTTACATGTACACGAGTAATACGTAGATCTAGCAATTTATTTAAAGGCGTTTGCGAGATATTAAATTGTACATGTGAAGTAATAGAAAAGATTAATACGAAGCACTATATTTTATATTTGCATTCAATGGAACAGGTATAAGTGAATGTGTAGATATACGTCACGATATTTCTTCACTTCCTTCTTCTTTCTATGTGTTATGATATTCTCTTGTTTTCGCTTTATATTTGATTAAGGGAAGGGCTATAATCTGTCATAGGTGTAACAGTCACTCTGTACGTTTAGTTTTAGACCGAAGAGTTTGCAGACGATAACGTGCATCGTTACGACAAGAGATAGGTGCGAACAGGACTGCAGGATTACGTGTAAACTTTACCTTGAGTGTCTTCTTTTGCGGCTAACGATATAAAAAATCTCAATCAAGCACTTTGTACAGATTCTATACATAAACGCGTATGCATGCGTGGATGTATGTATGTATGTCTGTATGTATGTATATATGTATGCATGTATGTATGTATGTATATGTGTGAATATATAATAATTTAACGATAAAAGAAAAAAAACACCCTTTTTCCACACAACTTGAGTATTAATCGACTATGTATCGATACGACTATATATACATTACAGATATATATGCACATATATATGTATACATAGACACTCTCTTTTATATATTTTTGTGAAACTACACGAGTGTGTACATACGAACGTACATATGTGTACATACATCCATAGACGTATACACGTATGTATGTATGTATATATGTCTGTATGCATGTATATGTATATATATGTATGTATGTAAAGAAGCAAAAAAACAAAGACGGATCAAATAAGGTATACATACATAAAAACAAAGGAAGGAAATACACAGATACACCTATACACAAATACTTCTTCCTTGCTCTTTCCCCCGCTCCGCCCCTCCCTTTTTTCTGTCACTAACCATGACTGAAACACGCACACGTAATGATACACATACGATACGTACGAGTGCATGTATATGGCAACACAATCACAAAAAAAATCTGGTATGGATTCACAGACACAAAACATACACACGCGGATACGCGCGCATCCTTTCTTTCTGTCTCACATGCGCGCGCGCGCGCGCGTGCACGCGCGTGACACACAGATAAGGGAAATCCACACGAGAGAAAAGAAAAGCGATTATCACATCGATGAAAATGATGCACATACGTGGGAAGAAAGAAGAGTACGAAGCGGAATGAAAAAAAAGGGAAAGGAAACCAGGGGAAACGATTCGCGCGTGCGGAAGTATGACGAGTGCAAAAACAAAGGATGAAGGTATCGCGTGATCCGACCAAATACGATATACGCTGAAAATATATGTAAAAAAAACATCAGATTACCGTGCTCGATCGTTCAATGAAAAATCAGACTAACCATTAATCGATTAAAAAAGAGAAATATATGTGCAAATGGGACGAAGCGGTTCGATTATTATCGGGGACAAGAGAAAACACAAAGTAGCTGTGGTAGACGCTGCCGTGTATCGCGATTACGAGTCGCCGCCGCCACCGCCATTGCTACTGTTTGCAATATCCATATGCACTATTCACTGCCACTGCAGTTCGTGTTATATCGTTGTATATAACTTTCTATATATGGCTCGATTAAGGCGAGAAGGGCCGGTGAGGCGTGCGAATCGGATAGCTTGATCGATGTATAAATGATAATACTAAACAATGTGCAGCATCAGCCGCAATAAGTGTCATTCGTTGCTCCTGATTTCCAAATATCTTTTTTCACTTTTTTTTTTTCTATTACTTTAGTATACGTAGATCTGCGAGAAAACGCCGATCAATTTCTATGTTTTATCAATGTGGAATTAATGCGTTATTTTTATCGATTGCGAATGTAATGTTAAGGATTATAACAGGGATGAGCACTGTTACTGTTACTGACACGCTTTCAGTTTTCTTTGTATTTTGATAGATCAAACGATAAGACCTATCCCAGTATAGTATATATATATACTATATATTTGGTTTGTTCGATGTGAAAATTGAGTCAGTGAACGTTTAGTGGACGAAGCTTTTTTTATTTTGAGTATCCGCTGTTAAAGCAGTAAAAGAGCACTTTTTATTTAAGAAATTAACGACACACGAATTCATTAATTCACAATTTTTACATACGTAACTCGTTGTTTTATATTAATTATAAAAATATGAATGCTAGATATGTTTATTTTCTAATTTGTGTACAAATTCATTTTATTCGCTATCGTGAAAGATGATAAAGCAATTGAAATTATAGTTTTAACAAAATTTCAGAACAGTATTTGTAGAAAATCAAATGACGGAGATTAAAAGAAGCTGGAAGTGAGTCAAAAGAGTAAATAGTTAGGAGAGCGAAAGAGAGTCGCGTTTTCATTTGAACAATTACAAAAATTCATTTGTGCGTTATCGTTCTCCGCTGAATGGACTATCCTGTATTTTCTTTCTCTTTTTCTTTTTATCTTCGAGGAATCCTCTGATAACGAAAGCTCTGACTGGGTATATAATTATAAACGAATCGCTTAATTTTTCATCAGCATATTGATGAAAATACGTGCGAAGGAAAGAACGAAAATCGAAAGACAGTTTAGTGTTACTTATTTGATTTCGTAAAATTCGATTTCTCGAGGAGCGTCAGTGTTTTAAGAAACGAGTTTAAGACACACACTTTAGAAAAATAAACGAAACAAATTACAATTCGTAATCGAACGAATATTGTTTTGGGGAAAAATGTTTGTTCACAGCAGTCAATTTTTCATACTAATTGTTTGAGGAAGTTAGCGGCTTGTAGAATCGCGTTAAATCAAGATGGAGGACTCTCGGTGACCCTGCCTCGCCTTGATGCGATTATATACGAAACAAAAGTTTGCGCGTTAGATTTTGTGGAAATCGTTCGTTAAGTGATTAAAAAAAAGAAAAAAAAATGAAATTTGTCGGAGCCTTGTGTAGAGTTTTAGATGATTGGTCGAGATTTGCGTCGCGTGGGTTTAGCCAGGCAGATGAATTTTACTTGACAAACGAGTGAACATCCTTTCGAATTTTGACTTTCCTTTCTTATTTCTTTTTCTTTTTGTTTCTTCTTTATTAATTATAAAATACGGCCGTTAATTTTAGTTTGACCTTTCACGTACGAAAAATAGACGATTGTTATTTTAAATATTACTCGATTCACTCTTACAAGGTAGGAACTCGTGCCTGGCTGCTCGCGAGATACAAATTATTCATGCACTCTCTTTAATAATTAAATCATGCACCGATTCAATCGATATCATCACCCGTAATCGTATTTTCGTGCGTCGCACGGATACACGTGGCGCATTTGTGTGTATGTGAGACGTGTGTATCTAAACGAAGTATATATAATTAACGTTAAAAAAGAACCTAAAAAAATGTGAAAAAAACCAGGAGGGAAAAAGAAGAGGAATAAAAACAAATCGAACAAAATACAAAAAATGATTCGAAATATATATATGGGAATTATAAAATGTATAAAGAGAAGAAAAAAAGAAAATTAAGGCGCGCTGAGCGTACGCCACCTTCGATGCCTCATTGACCTCATCTAATGCTTTTTTATCTGTACATTTACAATTTGTGTACCAATGAGGAACGTTGTTTAATCATGTTGTTGATGTTATTGTTAAAGAATGAGATTCAATATTGTACATAACTATATATTCATTATAATTGATGATATAAATAATTATATACATAAAAGTAAGCTTTGGTGTTTCTTTATATCCAGTGTGTTGTGACGTATGAAATTTACCTTATTATAATTAATATAAGAGAGAAAAAATATATATACAAACCGTCTAGTGTACACTTTTTGATAACATATATTGTTTTAAATATTTTAACATTTTGTAATATCTAAATGGGAGACCAAAAATCATGATACTATTCTTAAACTTCGTATAAAAATACAGGAGAATTGAAGAATAACATAATAGGAGGTAGATTTTGCACAGACAAATTTCAAAAGTGGAATAAATTTGACTTATATGAAATTATGAATTTTTTTAAATTTATGTAGCTATTGTTTTTAACTTTTTAAATATAAATTACGTTCTGACTATTTTTTTATAACAGGTACATAATTAGCAGCGAATAGATACAAAAATGAAACACAATTTGGTATCAAGTTTTATTTATTTCAATAACGATAATTATTCTTACAATAAAAACAATTACAACCTCAGATCTCTGCATTAAATGTAAAACTAAGCTTTTATCTGATAATTTGGCTATCGATGATTAGTGCTGATTGTCTAATAACGTACTCATTAAATCTTGTTTATTAATATTAATTTTATTTTAAGAGATAAGAACTACGTAGTTATTACTGTTTATTAATACCTTATCTGTACAATAATAGAATAATTTTTTACGACGAACATCAGCAACTAAATACCCATTTCAAAATTTAGAATCAACGAAATATGTGTAATCATAGCTATGTTTTAGTTATACGAAACAAAGTAAGTACTAGATAATCTTTGCTCGTCCTGTACCAACAAACGTTCTTCTAATATTCCTCGTTCTTCCACGAGGCAAATTAAAGCCGTGTCAATACAGAACTATAAAAACCACCTTGATTATTTCTACCTTTATCATTATTTAAGCTTCAAGGAGCATCAATAGGATGATTCGTATTGATAATATCTTTTTCAAATAGGGAATGAACTCTATTAAATTGGTTAATACGCATATAATCCGTTTTCTAGCAAAATATCAAGTTCATATGAATGTTAAATTATAAAAATTCAGAAACCACCAAATCATTCCTACCGCATTATTTAAGCTTCCAGAACAATGAAATCGTATTAATAAAATTTTCTTGTAATCTCTTTAATTAAATAATTCTTTACTAAATTAAGCAAATGTTTATTCGAATTATATCAAAGTAAAGCTGCGAAATGTTAAAAAAAGCCACCGTGATTATGCCTACCGCATTATACGAATGAGTTGCATGAAATTGGTCGATATTACCAATTTTCGGAACTACCTTTCGCTATGCTCGCCGCTTACTTTCCAAGTTAGCGACTAATGTTGGTGCGTTGTGTCTCTGATGCCTACAGTGAATAGAAGTTCTAATATCCGTTATGTCGATTCAGTCTGATCAAATTTTGTTTCTTTAACCAGCTACGTGGTCGTACAATTCTAGCAAAGCGTCCATCATTCTGTCTCTGTATTGAGGTACATCTTCTACCTGCTTGCAAACCAAAGGCGTTCTGTCTACATATAGAATGTTCTCCAAAAGTTCTGGTTCGGCTGAGAAGTATTTGCTAGCGGCTCGAGGTTCTAATAACATAATTGGAATGTTTAAGACACCGTGTGTGATACACATGACTCGTAAATCTTCGATGGATGCGGAAAAATCGGTCCAAGGGAAGATGGTGGAAATGTCTAAGCCAGCTTCTTCCAGAGCTTTCGCCATTGACTCGTGGTAGATCTTGAATAATTCTTCGCTGTGTTTTTCGCGGAGTTCCCGTGTTGTTGTGAATTGAAGGAAACATAGGATATCGTGGGCCGGAGGATTGTATCTGCAACAATAATATTTAATATGCAATTTAATTTAAGAAAAGAGAAACAGGTATTTGAAAAAAGAGAAGAAAGAAATTGCTGTGTTAAGAGATTTAATTTTCGAACGAAGTGCGATATTTTAGTATAATAGTAAGATAATGAAGTTGTGTGCAAGAATTACAATTAATTTTAGATCACCCCTTTTTACGTTTATTGGTATTGGTATTGGCTATAAATATATTTTTTTTTTTACTTTAAGCATGTACAAATATGATGAACCTTTTAACGAACTTCACCCGAACGTTTTTATACATTTTGTAAGTGTGAGTTATGAGTTGTGACACTTTCTTATTTATCCAAACCAGGTATATTAATGTCTGTCATACTTTGATCTAGTTTTATTTGCGTTTCACTTTATATGAATCACTGTTGATCACTTGAATCACTATATGAAGTTATGGTAATCAATTTCATAATATGCATCGATATGCAGAGAAGATCACAAATATATTTTTTTTTTATTTACCTTGGACTTTGATAAATAAATTTATGAAAGTATGCCCTTTATTTTGTTATTTTTTGTCTGAGTAATAAAATTTAGAATTTAAAAGGTGGAATTGTAATCAACACCCGAGAGATTCATATATGAAAATTAATTTATCAATCAGAAATAATATATAGTGATACATTACAAATGATTAGAATAATATATTATTCATTGTTTTATACATAGTAGTTGCAAAAAGTATTTATAATTTATATACGACTACATTTATTATTACATCTGTATACTAATAAATTCTTAATAAACATTTTGAATCTAATTTAAGGAAAGAAAGATAAATATTTAAGAAAAATAGGAGAAAGAAATTGATGCGTTAAGATTTGATACTTGTATGTAAAAATACTCTGCTTAAAGATACTAACTAACACTAACTTAAAAAGAAATTTCATCTACGAATACCTTTTGCAACCACTGTATTAAATCCTTTCCATTATTTTTATAAAAATATATCTCTCGATTACCTTGCAAGTTGAAAGTCGATAAGACAGCACTCCGCAGGCTTCTCGTCGATGTCATATTTAAACAAGATGTTATTCGCCCAAAGATCTCCGTGGCATAGTACATTCTTGTGTTTCATCGATGGCAGCAATTTATTCGCATGATCGACGCACAAGTCAGTAACCTTTGTGCTAAACGTCTTCTTCTGATCCTCATCCAAGTTTGGTATCAAGTCTATCAGGGAAACGATGCCTTTTACAGCAGCGTTGAACATTGCTTTAGCTCTGCCATCCGTCAAAGGCCAAAGTGTCTCTTGCATGCAATGAGAGAACTCGTCGTGCAGACTCTTCTGGTACAATTCTTCGAAAATCAAAGACTTCGCGTGAAATCTTGCCAGAGTTTTCATCAAAATCTTGCAGTGTTCGAAATCAAACGGTTTATATTTATCGGGCATTTCGTAGCCACTGTGGGCCATATCTTCTAGAACAATTACGTCATCTTCTAAACCAAGGAAGCACTCTGGAATATATCTTTTATCCAGACCATCTAACACCTCCGGGAAAACTGTCGTATAAAGAGCAACTTCCTTCTTGAATGTACCATATTGTTGGATAAAATCGTACTGCGGACTTGTTATTGGTGGCGGTAGTTTCGTGAAAAAATTGATATTCTTTGTTTCTAGTGGCGATTGCGGCGAGGCTACGGTAGCTTTTAAAGTAAAATATTGGCCCATGAAACCGTTTACCTCGTCTATAGGGACTACCTCGTAAGTTATCAGCGAGAAATCCTCCATCGAGTCCTTGTGAAGTTTTTTACGAATTATCTCGAAACATTCTTCGTCTTTGAGAATCTTCTGCGTGCTTGGATTACGCATTTCTTCTTCAACTTCCCCGAAGAGTATTTGTAATTTTATTGAACGTGGAGTTCTGATATTTTCGTTGTTTGACTTTTTCAAGTTTTCTTAATTTATTCTTAAGTTTCTCCGAAATCCGAAGACTAGGTAGATCTTTTATAAATCTGTAGATTTATCGAAAGTAGCTTTTTGATATCTTCGTCGATCGATTTCTTCAAAATTCTTCCTCGATATCCCCGATTCTTTTATTCTCGATGTATTTCTTGATTTATCCCAGTTTTTCCAATATTCTTAAGCTTCTCTGAAACTACCTCTAACTGAGCTCACCGAACGTAGAGCTTTTGGATACCTTCGTTTCTCAGCAGCTCCGAAGATACGGAAGTTTCCTCCTACTTCTTCCTTTTATACCTACGCGACGAATGACTTGGTTTTACAGTTGTTTACGGTAAAATGTCCGCGAATATAATTAACGTCCGCGACGTTAGATACGGCGCTGATATATGAGCAGAAAATGGAATGTAGCTTACGAGGAATAAAATCAAAGAGCACGAGTTTCTCTGACGATGGTTCGTGCTCTGGAGGATGTCTGCTTGGTATGTAATTCCGTTCAAGATCAAAATACCTTTATATATTGACGAAGAATCGCGTCACGTGTACGTTACGTACGATAAATAATAGCGCGTACTCGTGTCGCGCTATTTTCTCCTTTATTGGCTCTGATTGAGGCTAATATTAGACACGTTACAACAAGACATGTCCTGCATAAACGCGTGTAAATGGATCTGATGGCTCCTTATTGACACTATTCGTGTAGATCGATACGGGACGACGGATCGTACAAGGGAAGGGAACAGTTTGATAATGTTGAAACGATGAGACAGTGCACTCGGTTTTCGTTCTGATTATTAAATAGATATATAGCTGAGCATGGTCACGTGTTTCGACAACATCAGCAGACAGTCACGTTTCGCACGTGACGATCATCTAGTCAAGTACTTCGCTGCTCTCTACTCTTTGAATTGCTCTTCTGTACAGAACCCAAAGATTTTCTTTCGAACACACGGTCAATGAATTTTTAATGGATTGCTGAACGAGGATACAAAGATCGGCTTATATCCGTTTGGTAATTTGATCTAAATTGAATATGTATGTTTATTTTTAAACGGAGCAGGTGGTTCATTTTTAAATATGATATTATATGGAATTACTGTATAATAATAAAGGATAATATTTCTTCAAACAAATATTTTGGAAAATGATATTTATTATCTGTTTGTACATTAATTATTGAATTAATGCAAATATGAAATATTGTATAATCTAACGACTACAATGATCTTGTATGATACAATAATTTTATTTAATATTATGTTTTTCAATAGTAATTATATTTGATTATATTCATTTGAAACTTCGTTTCAATCTGCATAGTCTGGTGTTTCAGTTTACTGATGTATAATTTATTTTAGGATATTTGCACATACGCTCTTCTCTTAGAGCCAATTCTATTTTGCGACTTCTTTGGTATAAACGAACTACGAAGTCTCTTTCAGTGATATTTTGCACTTATGTTTTTGCAATATTTATACGTACTTTGAAACACAAATAATAAAAGTTACAGTTAGCGTAAAGTGTTGATTAAAAATGATTTTCGTGATTGTAGTCATTCTGCTTGTTTTGCTTTGCAAACATAGCGATTCGATGAAGCTTAGCTGTTTAAATTCATTGAATTTTCAAACACTTTTTAGTCGGTTAGTTGAAAGCATCAGTAAATTGTCAAACACCTGAAGCAGTTCTTTCGAGTTCTATTCGATTAGTAACGTAGATTTTTATGTGCATTCGTTAAAAAGATAAGTTATAATATTCCTCCGCTGATTTCTTAGAACAATTTGGTTTAAGGTAAAGATAATGGTTCTCTTATTTATGTTGACATTTTTACGTATATGAGTAACATAACATTTTTCTACACACTATATTTTTCATACGATACTGAAATTAAGAGAAATGTAATTTTCTATTTAATTTATATTAAACTCGTATTTTATTTACTTAGTACAATAAGATTGGATGGTTTTCCATTAATTTGCTTTAATTCACATAAACTCGAACACGCACATAAATTAAAATCATTTACTCAATTGCGATAACTGTTATTACAATTAATAAGACTAATTTTTATATTGATTTATGTTGATTTTATATTGATTTTATATTGATTTATATATATATATATAAATATAAAATATAAAGATTTTATAAAGACATATCGTTCCTAAAATTTATCTTAAATTTTGCTCTGAATCTTTTTTAAGTTTGTGTTTTCATATTAACACGTGGGTCTTTATGTTTCATATTAACACGTGGAAGTGCAGCTGGCGTACAGGGCACTTTATAAAACGTTTATTCTTCAACTCGTACACTCAAGTGCTATATCATTACTTCGAATCACTGAATGACTCATGCTGAAAATAAATACGAGAAAATAACAAATAATAAGTACGAGTCTGCAGTTCGAATAACATGAGTAGTCACCTTAAATATATAACTAGTAATGAAGTTAATCTCATTAAATATGTTTAATTTGTATCTTTTAATTTGTATCAGGCTTTATCAAAACAATTTTTTTTATTTAGAAAGAATAAAAGTTATGAAAACTTTCTTTGTTTATGAGCTAAAGCGAATGTTTTATGTATTGAGGATTGGAACAATTACGATGTTAATGAAGTTTCCAGCCGTCAAATAACAAAGATTGATGTATCTCAATGTTGTTAATACTGACACATACGAATCTGTAAACTCGATACGAACGAATACGTGGCAAGGTTTCATCTCTGGAATTTCCTAAACTCAGTTCACGATCAATCCGGAAAAAAATAAACGCAACGAATGAGTATGAATGAAAGAACAAGGCTATGCTTTGAGATGCTTGGCATTTAAAGTCAACAAGCGGCCAATCTTTACTTTAGCTCATAAACGAAGAAAGTGTTCATAATTTTTCTTCTTTCTAAATAAAAAAAATTCTAAAATGTTTCGAATTATCAGCTGATAATTAAGTAATAGATCAAAGAATATATTAATAATTATCATCGATTTACAACGAAGGAAATATTTGAAAATAATCGAAATAAATTTTATTTGAAACAAAAATCGTCGCTTATTTTATTGGAAATCCATTAACTGCGATATATATTTATTTAAATATTATATTTATTAAAAGTAGATAGATAATCGTTTCTTAAAATCTTTTTAATAGATACTTTTAGTTACTGCGTCTCAACTTACACATGATAGTATCCCGCTGGGGGTAGCCATCCACGTGTTATTTAGCAATTAAGTTTGAAAAATTTACCAAATATCCAGCTGGACAAATTGTAAAGTACAAATTAAATAACAATAAAAAAAACTTACACGTGTATTCGATTTTAGAAGAAACCTTGGATTTTGCCATTAGTTTCATCTACAATACTCGGGTAATAGGTTTGCGCAGTTTTAATACTCTGTTACGTTAGCGAATTAGCCTTTTAACAGACGTAACGAGTGATGTAAGTTTTTGTTCAGAGTCAGAGACGATTTAGTCGAGTTTTCCGAAGCTGCGCTGCCTATTGCCAATGAATATTACTACTAAGAAAACTGACCCACAATTCCTGTTCATTGAAATATCACCCGAGTGATTTCTTATGATAAATGGCAGCAATTTTCCGCTTGACATTGCTAGTTGGTCTTAGTTGAATCTAGTGGTAGTCTTTATTCCATTAATCATCGAAACGAGTGTCTATTAATCCGACCTTTTCAAGTCTTACGAAAGCACAACTGCTTTACACTAACTTCGTTAGTTAATTATATTTATTTCTGTCAGTCAGTTACCGATAAATTTTATGTTCATGACCTATACGATAGTATGTAGAAGCAACGTATAAGAGGGAAACACGTGGAAAACTTTCAACTTTTAAACATCTTCAAGTAATTCGAAAATATTAGGTTTCATAAAATTACACCGAATTCGCGATTTGTGCAAGTGGTTGGTATCATATAAATTATAATATTTCAAGTAATATCAATATGATTCAACTGCTTTGTAAATAGTGGATCAGATATTTGTACATATTGTTTATGGAATATAATAATGAAGACTGTTTAATAATTTAAATTAGAAAATACATTGAAAATATATTATCTATAATTGATATAGATGAATTTAAATGTACAATTTCTTTTAATATGCCACGAATACGTTGATTTCAAAAGTTACAGTTTATTAATTTATAATAATTTATTAGTAATAACTTATTGAAGATATAATAGACTTATAAGATCAGTGTACTTCGTACTAATATTAACGTGAAACATGCAAATGAGTAACTTGGTTTGAACGAATTGTACTGTTATGTATCATAGTTACGTCTCATAAATCTTTGTCTCGTGATAACAATGCTTAGAATGTGGAGGGAGAATAGAACAGACATAAAGTGGCGAGCGTATAAATAGGCAAAAAGTTACTCGCATTTACTACTTTACGTTATCTATGTAATATTTCATATTTGAAATGTTTCTTTTTTACTTTTATTCTTTTTTCTTTTTTGTAATAGGATTTACAAATTTTAAAGCGTTATAAATATAAGACGGCATTTAAAGTTTATTTCAAGTAGTAATTACAAACTAAATTAAATTCAATATAGTGCAAGAAATTTTCTTGTTCCTATGCTTGTCACTGTATAATTTTTCGAATATTCGTATTTGAAATATCGATGGCGCGAAAAGATAAAAGCAATCACTGTTGCCGATGTTATGTCCTACTTCTTTTTTTTTTTTTTTTACGTGGGGAAATCCTCATGGACACCCCGCCACTCTTTTAGGAAGCGGCTGGGTAATGTCGGACTCTTACCGACTAAAACCCTACGGTGGCCTGTCTAACGCTTAAGGAGTGCCCCGGGATCTCTTTCAAAATGTTCTAGTAGAAAACAGGAAATGAAACGGTTAGTAACTAGAAAAACAACAAGCATGCGACTTACCGTTTGTAGATAACACCATGTAGTAAATTAGCGACGAGGGATGGAATAGACGCGATATTCATTGCTTTTTCGTGTCCACGTTTTGAGGGTTACCTTGCCCTCTATACGGCGGTAAGGAACGTTCTGGTTTTCTACTACGTCGGTATTTCAGAATTTGATACGCAAGGTTCCCATTAATGTGACATCAAGACAAGTCTATTCTTATTCTACTGAATCGATAACGTCGCATGTGACATGAGATCATGAGGTACGAAAAAGAATCGCGTGTTTAGTCTATGATGATATTTTATCGATAGTTAAAATTTGTTGATTTTATTCAGAAATAATAGCTGAGTTCACTAAACATCGATGCAAACATGGGTACAATAACCTAATCACACTTCTAAATTTCATCAAAAATGTAATATTACCAAAATGTAGATACGATAAAATTAAGCTGTAATGTAGTAGTGTTTTGCAATAAATATGACTGCCAGACAGAAAGCTCCAAAGTACCGAAAAACAAAAAAACGAAGGCCATCATACATCGATCCGGTTTTAGAAGAAGAAAGAGCCAAAAGAGTCGCAAAGATACAAGCGAAGAGACAAACAAAAATAGACGAAGTTAA